TATATATATATATATATATATATATATATATATATATATATTCCTTGCCAACTTCTTGTCAGATCTGATTAGAGCATCATTGTTTTAACTTTCCAATACACCTGACCAAAACCTCATACCAGAAATTTTAAAAAACCATTTTCTCACTCTTCATTTGTTCTAATTATCTTTAATCCACTGTTTATTTGCAGGAATCTTTTTAACCCACCTGCCATTTTGTGTTACCACACACTGAAAAGGAAAGGGGAGAAAAGGGGGGGCGGTGGAGAAAGGAGAAAAGAAAAAGCTATTTGAATATGCTCAAGTGTAGGAGACAGTGGGGGAAAAAAACAACTTCAAACAATCTCAAATTCTATTCTTAACAGGCATCTTTCTCAGAGTGAATGGCTCTAGCAATTCTGAAACTGTGTCATGTGCATCATCAGATTTAGCAAATGAGTAGATGTGTGCTGGTATTGTTGGACACCAGGATTCTCAGTGTGGAAGGCATGTATACAAATAGGAAGTGAGGAAAGCAAATAAGAACCATGTGGAGTTCGACCAGAACTCATGATATCTAAAAAATAATGTTTCTTACTTCTGCCCACTGAAAAGATCTAGAAGCAAAGAGCACCAGTAATCATGGACACACCCAGGGCCCATATTTTCGTTTATAAATACCATCTCCCACTAGTAAAGAACCAGAAACTCCTTGGAAAAAGAACTAATTCTTCCAGGGCTGGACCAGGGCATCTTTCTAGCTTTAAAAAAAAAAAAAAAAAAAAAAGACAATTCCAAAGCTGAGTTAAGAAGGGTATAAGACGAACTAGAATATCTTGCAATGCCAGAAAAGTATTATGTGCTAAAAAAATCAACAACATCCTTTTGATACTGGGGCATATCAGGGACCAGCTTGAAAATGCTCCCACTGACCAAATCTAGGAATGCGGGAAAATCAAATTAAGAACATAACAAGTTTCTTCTTCAAAGATTCTATTTATTTATTTGACAGAGTGAGAATGAGAGAGAAAGAACATGAGAAGGAAGGACCAAAGGGAGAAGCAGACTCCCCGCCAAGCAGAAAGCCTGATGCAGGACTCGATCCCAGACTTCAGGACCACGACCTGAGCCAAAGGCAGTCCCCCAACCAACTGAGCCACCCAGGCACCCAAACATAACAAATTCTAATCCAATGACCAAAGAGTTCATACTGATGACTGTCAGGTAAGAAGACAGAAGACAGACATAGACATCTATGGGTGTGCACAGAAAAAAGAAATGTAAGCATTGGGAATTATCAAGCTCATGATAGTAGACACAAGATGCCCAAAATTCTTGCCTTTGCTTAGAATCTTGAATTTTATCATTGGCAACAAATACTACCAATCGCTTTTCCTTTAACAGGCTTGCTTCACTTCTTTTCAAGAAAATACCTGCCAAATACCCTACTTTGAATAACCAAATTTTGTCTATTAGTCATTCTTTTAACATGGAAATGATACCTTATGAAAAGAGCAGCTAGTGCAGCTCACAACCCAAACAACTGCACAAGTGCTTCACCTTAAGATAACCATCATACTTCATTAGGTAAAAGTGCTTTGGGGGATCTGCCAATTTCATAACAGAATACTAAAAAGATGTACACTCCAAAGTCAAGCTTTAATAAGATTATTTTACTTTTCATCGTAAGTGAAACTGGATTTTTTTTTAACTGTGAATGCAATACTTAAGATGAATATGGTAACCATACCAATGCACTTTGGTGCAACTGCCTTAATTCAAAACATACCACTGCTTACACACCAGCATATAAATGTAACAAAGTGGTGGGGGGACATATATACATATATATATATACACACATACACGTGTGTGTGTGTGTGTGTGTGTAAGTAACGGGGGGAAATAAAGCAAATAACTGTGAAATAGTTTCATTTTATAGACCTCTAAAAGGTGATGGGGACCCCCTAAAGGAGCTCAAACCACACCTTGAGAAATGTTGTACTACAGCATGTTTTGTATTATAAATCTATGCTCTGTTTCAATGTCAGGTTATGCTACAAATCATTAAAACTTCTAAATTGTTTCCTAACACAAAAGAAAACCAGATAGACATTATGTATATTTTTAATTTTTTTTAATTCCTGAATTTAAACATTATAAAATCTGTTTACTATTAAATACAAAATACATAAATTAAATTTCAACACTTACGATTTTCCTCATTGTGTAAAGTAAAATATTTAAAAATATTATTTAGGGGTGCCTGAGTGGCTCCAGTGATTAAATATTCAACTTGATTTTGGCTCAGATCGTGACCTCAGGGTCATGAGATCAAGCCTTACATCAGACTCTGAGATAGGTGTGGAACCTGCGATCCCCTCTCTCCCTTCTCCTTCTGCTCCCCAACTCTGCATGTTATCTTTAAAAATACATCATTTTTAAAAATAAAATTATTTAACTGAAAACATTCTCCACTATGAGTACTAACATCTGTTTCAGTCTTTATTCATTTAACTTTTTTCAAAGCCACCCTCACATGACTGCAAGATGGGTGTCTTCATAAAGCTGTATTGTCATTCACTGTCATGATTTTTTTTTAAATGATTTGTTTATTTGGGAACATGCGCATGCATCTCCCCCCACCGCACCAGTCTTCCATGCACAAGCAGGGGGAAGAGCAAGGATATCAAGCAGTCTCTGTGCTGAGAGCAGAGTCCCACACACAGAGTGAGACTATGACCTGAGTGGAAAGCAAGCACCAGAAACATAAACAATCAAACCAAGCACCAGACACACATAAACAGACACACAGACACCCCTGAAAGATTTCTGAAGTACACTGTTCAATACCTTTTCCCTGGAGAGGTTTTCCAAACGAGAAGTTAGACCACTTATTTCTTTGTCTTTCTCTGCCAACTGAAGCTGAAAAAAGAAATCATTAATCTTTTTCACTATCTACTCTCTCCTTACACACCAAGAGTTAGTCTATATCATTCTATCAAAATCCCTATTACCATAGCCATGTATTTTTCTTGGTGTATTTCTTTGACATCTCTAGATTACTTCTCATTATTGACCAACTTCCCTTACTCATACAACTTCTCCCATAGTTTATGTAAAATTTCACCCACAATATCACCCTCTCATGCTCTTTTTGTGTCTGCTTCTTCTTCACAATTAGAAATGTGAGTGTTCTCCAAAGTTTCTTCTTCGGCTTCCCTCTATATTCCCCCCCAAACTCTCTTTTTTCTATGCCTGCACAACTATAATCCCCATGGGAATAAATCATAAGTATTAACTCACATGGCATGTATCTTTCTTCCCCAAGTTTCAAACCTGTCTTTTTAACAGATAGGTGACATGTTTTCAGTGTTCTTTCCACACTTTAAGAGCAAAAGGCCCCAAGCCTACTTTTCTTACTTTTGTTAACAGATATTACCAATCTCAGAGCCCACTGTGACTGAAGCTAGGAAGTTTTGTTTTAACACTTACTCCTCCCTCTTCTTCCTCCACTCCCCTACATTTTCAGTCTCTTAAGTCATTCATTCACTTAACCACATTATGGATACAAACACAAACTTATTTTTTGATTATTTTTCCCTAAGGATGCCTTTCAAAACTTTCCTTGATAGACTCATGTCTTGCTCAATAGTAAGTGATCAGGTAAGTACCCAAGGGGGTGCTCTTTACCAAGTAATTCTGAAACTACTTCTAATTTTCTTACCTTCAAACACCTTCCCACCTATAAAACCTCTCAGGGTTACCCAACTGTTTTCAAAAAGACCTAATGTAGTTGGGTACCTTTGCTCCTAGGAAATCCTCAGGAGCAAACAGCACCCAAAATCCATTTTAGGACCCCCAAAACTACGGCTTTGATCTAGTTTTTAAGTCCAATCTACTCCACCACAGAAATTAAAGTCCTATTACTCCAGCCTGCCCAAAATTTCCAGGCTATGCTGCTCTCCACTTTTCACCTCCAAACTTATATAAATGTTTTTCAATCTGCTTAGAGTGATGCTTCTTTCTTTTCCCAGCTCTGCTTTCCCTCCCCTCCAGTTTGGTCTTTCAAAGGCTGGATTTCTTCATGCTGAACTCCTAAATATTCCACTGGAAATAGCCCTATGGTACTTCATTAATTAGAATTACCATTCACGTAGAACATCATCCCATTTTGCCTTGTCTAGTAAGTATCTGTTCTAAACAGTACAAAATAAGGGGAAGGGCACTAAATAAAAAGCTATCCACTTATACCAGCTGCATAATCTGTAATGTTTAATTCGGATGCTCACTTTTATCAGGAACTAAATGAACTAAAAAATAAAAACATTACTTAGTTTCCCACAGGTTTGCAAGTGATTACCTGGGTCATGGATGTCAAAGAGTTGTGAGTATCACTATTCTACTTCTAACAATCCCTGTTAGATTATAAACTCATAAAGCATACACGGCACTGTGCCTTACTTATTTGATCACCCACATAAGAGCTAACATAGTGAGCGCTTGCTAGCTCTCTCTACATAGTAGGCTTTAATTTTACTATTTTTTCTAGTCAATATGCAAAGATAAAACTTCATGTAAATTCAGTATTCACACTTAAGCAGCCAGCCATTGAAACAATATCCACAGGGTTCTCAGAAATAATGATCTCATGATTAAGTTTGGAATTTTCATTCTGACAATAAATGACGATAAAGAACTACCACCAGTAAAATTACCTATAATGTGCCACCTTCTTCAGTCCTTAGGGGGAAACCTAAATTCTTAGTGCCTTTAAGAACACCACATTTAAAAATTAGATCATAAGTACAATTAGCTATAGTATAGCAAAGTTAAATCATTTAGAACTTCCTGGTCTTTAGTCACACACACAATATGCAAATTACAGTTACATATCTATTTCAAAATATGTTAACATTATACTCTATTCCTTAAAACAAAAATATTTTCCTACTAATTGGCGGAAACAGCCTAATTTTTTTCTTTAACAGTCTTTCAAATATCATTTACCATTTGGGCTTGTTTGTTGCCTAATGTTACATTGGCAAAAATAATTTTAATTAAGATTGTATCACTTTTGCAGTATTTTTTAAGATCACAAGTAACACATCTGGTGATCACTTAGTAACTTTTACATAAATTTTAAAATTACTGATCATATATTACTATGCTCCCACAAAAATGTAAAGGCCCTAATTTTACATACATGTTCATGTTTGTTTCTAAGTGAACAGGATAATGAAATGATCACGTTTCCTTAGAAACTAAGCATGATTTTAAAATATAATTTTAATTAGCCAACTGAGTGCATAAAAATTAAACCCACAATGGCAATGCACAGGAGTATTTATTTTCTCAGTTCATCGTTAATTGACTAAATACACTCAACTAAATACATAGTATATTTTTATTTATACACAAAAATACAAATTCCAATTATCTATACTGAAACTGTCCATTAGATTGGTAAAAATTAACATATCCGCAAAAGTACCAGGTACACTGTGGTTCAAGCTATACAAATACCGAACTTACTCTGTAACTGTCCTCTACTTCAGTTAATGCTAGTTTTACACTTTCAGCAATCTTCACTTGTTCTTTCCATTTCAGTTCCATTTTTGCAAGTTCATCAGCATACTTACTGCATTTTGTTTTCTCATCCTAAACGAAATTAGCATAATTACCAAAAGATTTTAAATCCAAGTAAAACCAGTATCTATATAAATGTATTTAGATGTGCTGAATGTTTCATTATAACATTGTTTGTTTTTTTAGTATTTTATTTATTTGACAGAGATCACAAGTAGGCAGAGAGGCAGGCAGAGAGAGGAGGAAGCAGGCTCCCCGCTGAGCAGAGAGCCCGATGTGGGGCTCGATCCCAGAACCCTGGGATCATGATCTGAGCCGAAAGCAGAGGCTTTAACACTGAGCCACCCAGGCGCCCCTCATTATAACATTGTTTTAATAGAGTAAACACTGAAATAACCAAATGTTTAAAAAAAAAAAAAAAAAAAAACCCAAACGAAAAAAAACAAATGTCAGTGGAAGATGGGACAAATCATTTTAAATCTCTAAAATTGAACAGTATATATTTAAAAGAACACAGATCTACAAATTAACGAGTAAATGTCAAGATACATTAACTGAAAACAGTATGCTGCAAAAATCAGAATATATAGTATAATCCTATTTTTAAAAAGTTAACAATTTTTTATGATCTCTATATAGTGCTGTGTAGAAAAACATAAAGTATTAATATCTCTTATCCCTTGGAATCAGGATCATAATGGTACCTTTTACCATCTTTATTCTTTATTTCTATACTGCCATAAGATTTCACAATAAGCATTTATTACTTCTGCAATGGGAAGAAATAAAAACTAATATGATTATAATGACAGCTGTTTCCAGACATTGGAATTTCCTGACCAAGATAATCTCTAGGCTGACTTTTTTTTTTCTTTTTTAAAGATTTTATTATTTATTCGACACAGAGAAAGAGAGCGATCACAAGCAGGGGGAGTGCCAGGGGAAAGGGAGAAGCAGGCTTGGGGCTGAACAGGGAGCCGGACACGGGGCTCAATCCCAGGACCTGGAAATCATGACCAGAGCTAAAGGCAGACACTTAAAAGACTAAGCCACCCAGGTGCCTCTAGGCTGACTTCTTATACACTGCTTCTCCTCTACAACCCAGAATGTTAACAAATCATGACAAAAGGGTAAATTGGGGAATTTCATTTTGAAAGTCTTATACTCAAAGTAAAAGTTTAAAAATATGCTTTAAGCAATACAACTGAGGAAAAGTCTTTAACAAATGCTAAATCAAGTTAATATCCATTACAATACACACCATACATCACACCACACACAAAAATAAAATGAAACAGACCTAAATGTGAAAAACCTGAGACTATAAAACTTATAGAAGATAGGAGAAAATCTTTACAAGTTGGATTAGGTAAATATTTCTTACAACACAATGGAGCCTGCTTAAGATTCATTCGCATTCATTCTCTCTCTCTCTCTCTCTCTCTCTCTCTCTCTCTCTCTCTATCGGGGCGCCTGGGTGGCTCAGTGGGTTAAGCCTCTGCCTTCAGCTCAAGTCATGATCTCAGCGTCCTGGGATAGAGCCCTGTATCAGGCTCTCTGTTCAGCAGGGAGCTTGCTTCCTCCTCTCTCTCTCTGCCTGCCTCTCTGCCTACTTGTGATCTCTGTCTGCCAAATAAATAAAATCTTTGAAAAAAAACAAATAATAAAATGAACTCAATTTTTAAAATAGCAAAAGATCATAATTCTCCCAATAAAACGGAATGAACTACCAATATAAGCAATATGGATAAATCTCAAATTAATTATGCTGAAAGAGGACCAAAAGAAAGTATAAACCATATGACTGAATTTACATAAACTGTACAAAAGGTAGGACTGTGGGAGGAAAACACCTTGAGGAAATTTTTAACTTTGGCACATTAAAAAATATTCATCTAGAATTATTTCAGACTTGATGAAAAAAGTTTAGTCCCTTATAAACAACTACTCCAAATTCAAGGGTAAAACTCTTCTAAGAAATCAATCAATCCTTCTACAGAAGGAAGGATCCTCTGAAGCAACAAAAATGTTTAAAATTTAAAGGATTTGGGGCACCTGGGTGGCTCAGTTGGTTAAGCGTCTGCCTTTGGTTCAGGTCATGATTTCAGGGTCCTGAGATCCAGCCCCACGGGCTCCCTGCTCCCTTTCCCCATCCCCTACTCATGCTCTCTTGCAATCCCTCTCTCAAATAAATAAAATCTTTTTAAAAATAAATTTTAAGAGATTATTAAAAGGCACTGACAAAATGTTTTAAATCAATCACTACAGTAACACTTAACTAATGTATGAACTTCATCATTCTATAGTTCTAAACATCCTTCCCCTCTCTACAGGCATGGAAAAACATACACCAAAAAATTAACAAAAATCACTAACACAAACACAAAACACCTTTGCCTCCCTTCTCCAAATCAGGCATAAATGAGAAGCATTTTCCCTTTATCCTTTAAATACTCCAGGAGTGAACCCTACCCAAGATGGTTGCAAAACTGAAATGTATGAAGAATACAGTTTAAAACAGTCAAAATAGTTAACATCATAAAGGCAACAGCTCATCTGATTAACATTCTCTTTTTCCACTTTGTAAATGTGGTTACTTTAAGATATCCCAAAATTCTTTGCTATTACAGTAAATGTAAAGAAAATACTTCCCTTTATGAAGTTCCAAGTTCAAGGATATATATTCAATGTATCCTTATAAGACGACGACAAACAAAAATAACCAATCTCAATTAATCACTTGCCCATTACCAAGAAAGGACACTAGGTCAATAGAAAATTTTAGGATCATGATTTTACACACAGGCCTACATGAGCAGATACACAGAACAACCCCCTTTCATCATCCAAAAGTGAGACTAAGAGGGCACCTGGGTGGCTAAGTCAGTTAAGAGGCAGCCTTCAGCTCAGATCATGATCCCAGCGTCCTGGACTGAGCCCCTGATGAGGCAGCCTGCTTCTCCCTCTCCCTGAAGCTCCCCCTGCCTGTGTTCTCAGTGTCAAATAAATGGGGGGGGAGGGAGACTAAGTAAATGGGTATGGGGAGGGGTGGTAAACACACCCAGAATTTAAAGAAAAAATCCAAACACAAAGGTAAGCATTATATCTAATAAATCTTTCATTTACAATAAAGCTAGCTTACCTGCAAGAGTTGTCTACATTTATTGTATTTTTCTGTTTTGTCAGCAATTTCTTTGGACATTTCACAGACTTGTCCCTTTGTTACCATGTCAGAATCTGTCTCAGCTATTACAAGGCAGAAAATATTAAAATTAAAACTTATTTTTGCCCCTTATATTATCTTCCTGTTCAGAATGACTTAAAGGTAAGTATACTGTGAAATAAATGGAATACTAAAGGAGAGAAATATTTGAGAACATCTATTCATACACTAAATAAAGATAATATAAACTCTACATGAGAATTTTTTATATGTTTGGCCAGAAACAAGTTCATATTCAATAATGAAAAGGATCATTATTTTTTTTAATTAACTAAAAATAGTTCTGAAATGGCACACTTGTTTTTTTCATATAACTGAATAGACAGGGTAAGCAGAAAGCCACGCTCTCTGAAAAAAACACTTTAAACCATTTTTCTAGTCCTTCATTACTATTCACTTCATTACTATTCAAGTCTTTATTAAGTAAATAATTTACACAACACCACTCTAGATGCTACAGAGTTTGTACAGAAATGGGAAGTCACGATCTTATTCTACAGTGGCTGAATATAATTAAATATTTAATAGCATGGGAAGTTTACAATACATTTAAAAAGTCTAAAACAGCAATTACGCCAACACTATAGAAGGAAGTGTATTTTTATATACTCTAGTGCCAACTTTCATTATTGTCAAATCTTTAACCTAAGGTGAAAAAAAAAAAAAAATCAGGCTAAATGAAAACCTAGAGTTAATTCAAATTTTTCATGTTGTTTATACATTCACTAGGTCTTTCTAATCTGTTCTCTAAGTTAATAAACTAATAATAATTTAATTTTTCCAACAGGTACACTAACCAGAAAGTACCCTAATGATCCAAAGAAGTTTAAAAAAAAAAAAAAAAAAAAAAAAGGTAGTAGTAGTAGCAGTCGTTAAAAAAAAAAAAAAACCATCAACGGGGGATTTATTCCCCCCCCCCCCGCAACAGAACCGTATAATTAAAGTTCCATAAAAATTCCACGGATTTAGTGGGCTATTAATTAAAAATTCAATCATTGGTTTTTGTCCTATAGCCTAACTGTTGCTATAAGCATATAAGCTTACAAACTGTAGTTCATTTAATACTTCTGAATATTCTCAGGAAGATAAATACTAGGTTCACACATTTTGTATATTTCACATGCATGACTTTCTTAACTTTTAGACCTACTTTATCATTGCCTTAATCCTCTCACTTACAAGAATTTTTACAAACTCCCTTAAAATTCATATACCCGGAACAAGGCAGTATAAGTATCAATACTTGTCAAGGCAGGACACTACATAAAAGGTCTGAAAAATTTTTACCTGCAGAAGGTGGTGGCTTTACATCTATAGGACAGGCAGTAGCAGCTGGGTCTGTGTTTATTGAGGCATCATTCACTTTTTGCTGACTCCCAATTTTCTTTGTTAAGACACTGTTGCTATTGGCCTATGCAGAATATTAACAATAAATTATTACACGAGTTATATTTCCTTCCATCAGTAATTCCATAAAGAAATCCTGAGAAGTCCACAAAGCCGGTATTGTCTTGAAGGCCAACAAAAACCAAAGGTAACACACATCATTTTACTAACTGACCTAAATGTTACAAAAGAGAAAAACTTTATTTTGGTTTCCCTTGTCAAATCATCAAAACACTACCCAAAAAAAGACACAGAAATCTCCTAGGTCACCTACTACAAAGTCGTAATATACTTAACAGGCCCCAAACCCAAACCCATACATGTGGGTCAAACTCAAAGGATAGTATTTTTTCACAAAAGCCTTTCTAGTTTACTACATCCATTTCTGTGAAAATATCTGTACTGGGCACCTGGGTGGCTCAGCTGGTTAAGTACCTGACTTCAGCTCAGGTCATGATCCCGGAGTGCTGGGATTAAGCCCCATGCTGGGCTCCATACTTAGAGGGGAGTCTGCTTCTTCATCTGCACCCCCCACCCCACTCATGATCTCTCTCTAATAAATAAATAAAATCTTTATTTTTCAACCTGAGCTGAAAACAGACGCTTAAACAACTGAACCACCCAGGCGCCCCTAAATAAAATCTTGGGAGGGAAAAATCATTTGTACCATATAGAATACAAATAAAACAGTGTTTACAATAAATTTTGTTTGCAAAGAGAACCTCATATCAACTACAGGTTTTAAATATGTTTCTCCACTTCCAGCATTCCATTACATAGCAAACCTTGTATTAGGTACAATTTAAGGACCCACATTAAAATACGCATGAGAACAGAAATAATTTCTTCATTAAATCTGCTTACCCACTCTCAAATGGAATATAAAACAACTAGCTAACATTAACTCTTCCTAATCTAGTGATTATGAATAGGATGGAAGAACCCAACAATGAAAACTGAGAAAATATCTATTACCCTGGGGATAACCAATGGTGAATCACACTGAGGACAAGCATCACTGTTGTAAGGAGCGATCCAATACGTATAGTTTTTAAGTGAAGACATTTATCAGGAATTTAGAGGGAAATGGTCAAGTAAAAAGGACCTCGCTCCTGTTTTCTTTTGCCTGCTGCTGCCCTTGCTTCCTTTGTTGATTTTCCAGCAAATAAAAACTCCAAATCAAAAAAAATATGTATCATTACAATATTAGACCAAAGACTTCAAATCAGACCAATGACTTCAAATCAGCAGAGATAAATTATATTCAAAAGGTTGATATTTAGAGTATTATAAATCTGGGGGCACCTGACTGGCTCAGTTGAAAGAGTATATGACTCTTGATCTCAGGTCATGAATTAGAGGCTCCTGAGGGGTACAGAGATTACTTACATAAATAAAACTTTAGAATATTATAAATGTGATTTGTAAACAAAAAGAGTGATAAAAGAATTATCAGGTATACATTAAACTGTCCTTACTGATTGGTCTGAAAGTTTGTTTATTTGTTTTTGGAGCCTCTGGCATTCCTTGAATTTTTCTTTATAATGATCTGCTGCCATCTGAAGACGAAGTTTCAAATCTTCAACTTCTCTTCTCAGTTCATGTTCCAGTGTATCAGTCTTTTCCTATGACAAAAATACACACACACTTCCGCTTAAAAAAAAAACAAAAAAGTTAAAAATCTCCTATCTCATAATGTAAAACTAAATCCCAACTTCATTTTCGCTTTTTTCTTTCTGGCTTTTAATTTTTATTTGTTTTAGAGTTTTGGCAACAGAGCTACATTAGCTCCTAATAAATCCAGCTTTATATTCTTAGGACTAAGGCTCATTAAAAAACTAGAGAAGAAAATCTACCTCCAGAGGAGTAAGTATTACCCTGTTAAATAACCATAATACCACTTTATGAAGCTAATAAATAAGAAATTCCAAACAAAGTAATATATAACTGACATCAGAAAGTTTAACAATAGAGCAGTTCTTACTAACCATTAGGCATTAGCCTACCTACATTTTCCTTAAAGTTACATTAATTTCCACTGAAGAAGTTATAATGACTAAATGAAATGAAGAGAAATTTAAATTTCTGTGATAAGGAATCTGACCTATTACGACATACCTATTGAGCTTGTAGTGAGTTTTTCATCAAATGAATAATCAAAATTAACCCACTTTTACCTGGTCTTTCTTCACAGAGTTCAGTTTAAGTTCTGCCACTGCATCAGCTAACTGCTTTTTTACTTTCTCATTTTCCAAGCGTGCAGTATGCAGATCTGCCATTGTTTTATCTCGCACATTTACAGCATCACTAAGTTCTTTAGCCAGAAAGACAACTTCTTGCCGGGTTGCCTGAACCTGCTCCTCTGCTTTACGAAGTTGCTCCTTTAAAGAAAAGGTATCCTCCTGAAGAAAAGTAGAGAAACATATTTACAATAAAACCATTAAATTAAAAAAAGAAGCAGAAACCATTTTTAGTATTTCAACACATCCAAAATTTTAAATTGTTTTCTTTTTTTTTAAGATTTTACTTATTTGACAGAGAGAGAGATCACAAGCAGGCAGGCAGAGAGAAGGGAAGCACGGAGAGCCCAACATAGGGCTCAATCCCAGGACCCGGAGGAGTTCATGACCTGAGCCAAAGGCAGAAGCTTACCCCACTGAGCCACCCAGGTGCCCTAAATACTGTTTTCTATTCATAACTTCGATGAAGCACATAAACCTATAAAAAACATAAGGACTCTATGTTACAGTCCCCATTTAACAACGCAATGCACTCAGTATCTCTACCACATTAAACACACGTAAACTGAAGTTCAGAAGTTAAGCAACGTGCCCTGTATTTAAAAGCCCTGACTTAAACGGAAATACAAATGAAAGTTCCTGTCCCCAAAAATCTCTAAGAGCTGGAACTACTGACCCTCATTTTTTATGATTACCAATAAAAATAATTTCAGAAAGTTCTCTGTAATTCCAAAAATTCTGGTTAAAAGAAGTCTCCTATTAACTAACCTAAAACATACCCAATGTATCATTAATATACCATCACATATCATTATGAAAACAGGACAGATTTAGAATTTCATTCTAAAAACAAAATACTGATATGCAAATAACAAAGAAAAGGTACTGGGAAAATGAAAAGTAATTAGCCCCTCTTAACAAACCTAAAAGTATCTTTAAAAAGTTAAAATTGAGGGGCGCCTGGGTGGCTCAGTGGGTTAAGGCCTCTGTCTTCGGCACAGGTCGTGATCCCAGGGTCCTGGGATCAAGCCCTGCATTGGGCTCTCTGCTCTGCAGGGAGCCTGCTTCCTCCTCTCTCTCAGCATGCCTCTATGCCTACTTGTGATATCTCTCTCTGTCAAATAAATAAATAAAATATTAAAGAAAAAAAAAGTTAAAACTGATTTAAAAAAAAAAAGAGGGGCACCTGGGTGGCTCAGTCAGTTAAGCATCTGCCTTTGGCTCAGGTCATGATCCTAGGATCCTGGGATGGAGCCCCATGTTGGGCTCCCTGATCAGTGGGGTATCTGCTTCTCTCTCTCACAAAAATAAAATTTTTAAGAAAGAAAGAAAAGAAAAAAAAAAGGGAAAGAAAAAGTTAAAATTGCCATTCCTTTAATATTAGGACCCCAACAAATCCAGTTTATTCAACTTTCCTATTTTTATCTCTGTACTAAAAATAACAAACTCAGAAAAAGTGCAACCCATTCTTGGGTTTTTAAATTGTTAGCTCCTGGGCACCTGGCTGGCTTAGTTGGTGGAGCACGTGGCTCTTGATTCTCAGAACAGTGAGCCCAAGCCCTTGCTGGGCATGGAGCCTACTTAAAAAAATAAATAAATGAAAATAAACTGTTAGCTCCTTAGAAAGAAATGACTATGTAATGCTGAAGTGGAGGAAATCTTTGCAGATATAATATTAACAGGTATCATCAGTTTCTCTGTCAAAAGGGAAGATAGCAAAAAACCGGAGGAAATTGTTTGGAATATATTTTTTTAAAAGGTACAATAATACTCTGATATAAATATATTTTCTAATCAGTAAGGAAAAAACTCTCCAAACCACCCCCCCAAAAAAAAACAAAAACAAAAACAACAACAAAAAAAACCAACCCCAAAAATTGGGGAATGGCAGGACTGTGAATTTTTTTTTTTTTTTTTTAAAGAAATGGCCAGGGACGCCTGGGTGGCTCGGTGGGTTGAGCCGCTGCTTTCAGCTCAGGTCATGATGCCAGATTCCTGGGATTGAGTCCCACATTGGGCTCTTGCTTGGCAGGGAGCCTGCTTCTCTCTCTACCTCTGCCTGCTTGTGTGCTAGCTCCCTAATAAATAAATAAAATCTTAAACAAAAAAAAAAAAAAGTAATAATAATAAAAGAAATGGCCATTATGCCATTATGCATATAGAAATATATTCAACTCATCAACAATCAAAGAATTTAAATACCATTTTATTTCAACTGACAAAGATTCAAAAACCAGAATATTCCAATATTTAGATGACTTTAGGGAAATTAACATTTATAAACAAGTGGACTATGTACCTGGTAAGCAGTATAAAGTTTCTTATCAGAGTTTTGCAACATGCACAACCTTTAAAAAGCACATTAACTTTTGGTCTAGCAACTTTTATTTTCATGAGTTTCTAAGAAATTTATTTAGCTTTACAAGGATGCAGTACAATTATTAAAATGAAAAATTACTAAAAATAGAAAATACGTAATACAAGAATTTATTATAAGTTTTACAATATATCCTTTATACAATGAAAGTCTCTGCTCCCATTACAAACAGAAGTATATACAATGCTGGTGTATTTTTTTGAAAAGCTATTTAAAAATAACTATGAAATTTATTCTGGTACATATGCCTACATAACTGTACAAGGTGGTTTACAGCAGCACGCTTATAAAAGCTAAGGACTATACACAACTAAAAACAACTACATACTACATGGCTATAAATAAAATAAGGGATACTGTGCAGCTGTTAGTGAACGAGGAAGATCTATATGGGTTCTCATACCCATACAGAATGTCCAGACACTCTATAAAATTTTTTTAAAAAGGTTTTATTGTTTTTACAAAAATATAAATTCTCTATGTACCTTCATAGATTTCTAGGAAAATTAAAAATTCTATAAGACATATATGGGAAAGGATAAAGGTTACTTTTACTTTGTACCCTTATATATTATTTGAATTATGTTATAACCATGACCTTGCACTGCTTTAAAAAACAATTTTTTTTTGCATTTTAATGATTAATGGGGCTCCTGGCTGATTCAGTTGGTAGAGCATTTGACTCTTGATCTTGGGGTTATGAGCTGAACCCTGCTGGGCAGAGAATTTAAAAAAAAAAAAGTTTTAACAATTAAAGAGTCAATTTTTCCAGGTATTTCTATACCTGTGATTTTCCTTACAGAGGTTTTATGTAGAAAAAAGATGCCTAGAGAAAATTTTAGCATCTTAATAAATAAATCAAATGTATGTTTTACCTCTGTATTTGCAATGTGCTATATTAAAGACAGGGTATTAATCATTAATTCTAAATGTGATGCACAACTGATGTTTTAGGTGTTACAGTAATTATATCTGAGTATATTTAACAGTAAACTACTGCAAATGATGTAATACTCATTCACAAGAGTTAAGAAATAAGTCAAAGTAAAACTGCCCAATGTAGTATTACCCAGCCATTTAAAAAAAAAAAAAAAAGTTCAAAGATCTCCATGAACTGATGGTGGAGTAATTTTTTTTGGTTTATAGTGTTCAATTTTTAAAAAGCAAGGTGCAAAAAGTATATATAGCATGGCAGCTTTTTCCCTTTTTTGAGAAAGAAGGGAATATGGAGGGATGGGGTAACTGGGTAATATAATGAGCACTGGGTATTATATAAAGACTGATAAAGCATATACCTCTGAAACCAATAATACATTATATGTTAATCAATTTAAATGAATTTAAATAAAAAATGTTTAAAAATTGAAAAAGATAAAGAAGAAAGAAGGGAACAGAAAAGAGTGCCTGCACATGCACATGTTTATTTTTTTTTTTAAAGATATTTATTTGACAGAGAGATCACAAGTAGGCAGAGAGAGGGGGAAGCAGGCTCCCTGCTGAGCAGAGAGCCTGAGGCAGGGCTTGATCCCAGGACCCTGAGATCATTACCTGAACTGAAGGCAGAGGGTTTAACCCACTGAGCCACCCAGGCACCTTTGCACATACTTATTTTTGTGGAAAGAAACAGGATAAACGGTAAACTAATGAAAATGTTTACATATAGGTATAAGAAAGGGGTTTTTTTTGTTTTGTTTTGTTTTTTTTAGGAAAGAGACAGTGAATTTTATTGTTAAGTATTTCCATTTTTGAATGATGCAATTATTTAACAATCAAAACACAAAATTCAATCAAAAGTTTAAGGGAATAAAAACTAATCTTAGAATTAAATACTAACAAAAATGCAGACTGTGTAAAAATTCATTACCCATTAATATGTTTAAAAGTTTATTCAAGTAACTTTGAACACAGTACTATGTACATCCTTACTGAAATAAATTCTTAGCAAAAGGATTGGGAAGAACTTAATTTAAGAGACACACTGTTGGGAATGGCACTGGTGTAAGATTTCCGAAACTACTGGTATATATAACAGGGTAAAATACATGAATATATATATATAATGATGTTTTGGAAACAAAGGCTCTCACACTGAAAGAAGAGATAAATATGGAATGGAGGAAGGTGGGAAGAACCCTAAAATACTGGATTTGAATTGAAGAAAACTATATAAAGACTTTAAATGTCTGTCCAATGGAAGTACAAAGAAGCAATGACCCCTAGTAGGAACAGGATCCAGTATAGAAATATCAAAATTCTATGTGGCTTCAAAATACCATTCCCCACTGGAAAAAACCAGGGCTCCTTAGAGAAATAAATGCCAGTACAGGTATGGGACAGAACCTAAAGCTTAATATACAGTTGTTTCACAAAGCCAAGAAGTATTCAAAACATTTATGAAAAAGACAGAGGGGTTGGGGCGCCTGGGTGGCTCAGTGGGTTAAGCCTCTGCCTTCGACTCAGGTCATGATCTCAGGGTCCAAGGACAGAGCCCCACATCAGGCTCTCTGCTCAGCAGGGAGCCTGCTTCCCCCCCCCCCCTCTCTCTCTGCCTACTTGTGATCTCTGTGTGAAATAAATAAAATCTTAAAAAAAAAAAAAAAAAAAAAAAAGATGGGTGGGTGCGTGGCTCAGTTGGTTAAATGCCCAATTCTTGGTTTGGCTCAGGTCATGGTGTCAGGGTCCTAAGATCCAGCCCCACATCAGGCCCTGTGCTCAACTGGAGTGTGTTTGAGATTCTCTCCCTCTTCCTCTGCTGCTCCCCCTCCTAGATGTACATGATCTAAAGCAAATAAATAAAATCTTGAATTTAAGGGGGGGAAAAAAAGGTCTGGAACAGCTCACCCCAGCTAAGTATGGGACAATCTGGGTATGAAAAAAGAGTAATAATGATGATGTACGATATACTGAACAAAAAAGAATCCCGAAGTCCACAGTAATATGAAAAAAGAGAGAGGGCAGCAATACCTCATTATAAAAGAATACATACTAATAAATGTAGAAGAAATGATAAAATTTTTTAAACCACCATTTTGTAATCATTAATAATAACTGATAAATGTGAGGATCATCAAGGATAAAAAATCACTGGGTGAAAGGCTACTGGGGAACAGGACAGTCACATGATCTCAAAGTATTATCCTACATATTATTCAATACAAAGAGGGGGGAAAAGCACCAATATGATGGTTTCAGTCAAACATAACTTTAAACAAATGATTAAACCTAACATCAAGAATGAAACTGACATTATATGTCTTTTGATAACACTGCAACAGAATGTACAAAACATCTATGCCTTTTCTTGCCAAAAAGGTTTCACCTGAATCCAGCCATGAAGAAATGATAAATAAATCTGGAGTACAGACCATTTTCTCAGACAAGTCTGAATTCTTCAAAAATATCAAGTGTCATAAATAAACAAAAGGTATAGAGAAGCTATTCTAGATTAGAGCAGACCAAGAACACAGTAATTGGGTGATCTTTATTTCCCCTGGGCCAAGAAATTTTAAAGGTTATACAGAAATATATTTGGGACAATTTGAATGTACTAAAACTACATACAGGAAGGAAATATTATCTTATAAATGTTAAATTTCTTAGGTATGTTAATGGTTTGATGGTTATACAGAATAATGTACATGCTGACAGGGAGACATGCTAATGTATTTAGGGTGTAATGCTGAATGCCTCCAGATTTGTACTTTTTCAAAAGAAAGGCTTGGGGAAAGGAAAGATTAAATATAAAAACCACTCGATTGCATACATTTAACAGACACACGTTTTACACTCTTCAGATACACACTGCAAAAATACTTACCTTACTTGAGGTTGTAAGCAAGAAAGCCCTTTGCAGATTTTCCTTTTCAGCCAAACAGAACTGCAGCCTGCCAATCTCTTCTTTGAAATGAGTAATCATGCTTTCTTTGTTCCCATCTAAATTCTTTAAAGTCTGGACCTCTGACACAAGCTTGGTGTTTTCTATATCCGTATTCTTCAGATGTACCTGTAACAGTGCTTGAGATGTCAAGAATACTCTAACTCCATAACCTAAGTTACTCAAATTTCAAGCTACCATTGTTTATCTCTAACCCAAAAATGATCAAGGAACCAGAAGACTTACTAGACCAGGAGTCAGGAGACCCAAGTTACATTAAGTGACTAGCTAATAAACAGAAACAAAACACAGTCTAAGTATTTTTTTTTCACAGAGATTATATCTAAGGTCTTAAAACATTACCTGATCTCTAAAGTCTTCTCTCATTTAATAAATTTAAGTTCTCTTTAAAAATGCAAACCAATTTAGTCATTCTTTTGGAGGAACAAATTATGTTATAGGTATATTCAGATATAAAGGCATGGAGAAATTCTGGAAAACTGAAGGGGTACATTCAAGAACAACATCTTAAGCAATATTTTTATTTTGAGAAGTATTGTCATTTACTTCCTATGTCCCTAAAAATACATTTGATTAACCCCACTATATTAATTTTCCCAGGAACTTAGGCAGCACTTGCTAATTTGCTTGTAACAGATGCACAAATCAAATTCCATAATTGAAATTATAAAGAGTACAGATACCTAGTTTCCACTATAAAGAGTATTTTGCTTTGGTTAAGAGTACCAGAGAGAAATAAATTAACATACTACTTGCACTTGACTTCAATGTATGAATGCTGAAACACTAATTCCTGTTCACAAGGACAGAATATAACTCCATATTCTCTGAGGTGTCACCAGCCAAGTCCTTAACAACACCACTTTAAAAACACTATCTAATTTTAATAATCATCAGATCAAGAAAGTGTTTTATCCATTACTCTAAATTCTGACAGGACAGAGATGGATCATATGCTCTAAGAGGGGCTAGAAAAAGAAAGATATAAGCAGTCTCTCTGATTATATAAACAATCTAGCTTTGCGCAGTGGCAGTATCGTAGCCAATGAGGTTTATCCGAGGCGCGATTATTGCTAATTGATTATATAAACAATCTGGAAGGGAAAGCCTGTTTCGGAGATTAACAATTTAATATGAGGTCTTATCATATTCAGTAAGTACAGCCTCCTTGCCATTAAAAAAAAAAAAAAAAAAAAGGAAAAGAAAGAAAGGAAAAGGGAAAAAAAACCCACAAAACAAAAATCTCTAAGGAAGTTTTACTTCCCATTTTGGGGATACACACATACAAATGAAATTCTGTTTAGAGCACTGGGAGGTTGAAGGAAAATATATTCAAATGGAAATTTCAATGTCAATTTGATCCCAACTGATAATGCTTATAGAAAACTGGAGATATTTTCACATCATAGAAGAATAAATCCCCAAGACACCTCATTCTCTCCCTTCCTTCCTTGCTGCCCACTCTTTTATAAAGGACTGGTCATTCAGGTGTAAAGCAAAAACACAAAAAGTCTGCAGAAAGTGGGAAAAAAAAAAACAAGGCATAAGGAATAATTTAGAGCAGTAAAGGAAAAATGCTCATTTACCCTAAAATGTGCTTGCCAACCCTCTACAAAACACAAGAAGTCCTATTCTCATAACAGAAAGAAAAGAAAGGCAGGATGGGAAGATGAAATCCTTAGGGATAGGTCTCTCTCTTTCCAAAATAATTCATCCTTGTAGCATTCATTACACCTCTCTAGCATCATTGGTTTAACCTAGGACCTTCCTAAACCCTTTCCAATACTAACTAGAATGCCTTTAGAATTAATTTTATTATTGAAAAGACTGAAGACACAGACATTCTATCTTATTATCTCCCACAATGCTAACAGAAAGCAACATGGAAAGCAATTATCCATGGAAAGAAATAATGCTCAGGTCTTTTCTTGACAACAAAACTGAAATATTCTCACTGAAATTCATTGTTAACATTGAGTAAAAAATTATGAGAGATGCCAATTTTCATTTAGTTAAAGAAAATTGCTTTCTAACTTTAAAAAGCTGCATTTAGGGTAGTTTGCAAAAACACTATACAAATTATAATCCAATTCCATCAATTTCTCTAGATATCTCTATTATTTCCCTTTTTCACAAAATCTTGTTCAAAGATCAAACATTATTTTGGGGCATATTTTCTTAAAGGGTCAAATCATAAATCATCCATCCACCAGAGCGGGACAACCTGGGTGGCTCAGTCAGTTAAGTGTCTGCCTTCGGTCAGGCTCTCTGCTCAGCAGGGACCCTGCTTCCCCCTCTCTCTCTACCTGCTGCTCTGTGATCTACTTGTGATCTTTCTCTGTCGAATAAATAAATAAAATTTTTAAAAATAAAATAAAATGGGTATAACCTGTGACATACAAAACGCCCCCATCCATGCTCTCTGCTCTAAGGTGCATGGTGGATTCAATATTTTTATCTTCTAAAAAAAATCCCAACACCACCAAAAATAAAAAGGAAAAAAACAGTGGGCAATGTAAATCATATTCTAGTTTCTACATGCAAACTGTAACTATCAAATACTGAATATATAAACAGTTGTATGCTTTTAACTTTAATCAAATATATACCACAATACTGTGTGTCTCCCTTTTCTATTATCATCAAGTGACTAAATCTACCCAAATAATACTGACTTAACTCAGAATGTTCTTGAAATTCCTCATCTGGAACTGCCTTCATGACTGCTATAAGCCACTTAAGATAAACACATCTCAATTTACATCCACAGCATTACTGGTTATTAAGCTAACCAACCTATTTCAGAATCATTTAAAAAAGAAAAATTTCAAAAAGGTAAAGATTTGTTAACAGCGAGATTTTTCTTTAAAATGACATTCTCTGAAGATTATTCTAAAAGTCAAACTCTAAAACATGATGATCATCACTGAAATTAATGTTCTAAGATGTTCTTAAAAGGGGAAAACAATAGGTTTTATAAATTCTGATCAACAGGCAGGTATCCTGTTACCATTAAACCTCGCTGACTTATTATGTATTACCTGCTAAGTAAAATACAAGTAAATTCCCTGAAAACGTTTAGGGACTATACACTATAGGGTAGGGGTTTTTTTGTTGTTGTTGTTTTCTTTTTCTTTTTACAATGGGGTAGTTTTAAAACAGGTCCCCAAATCCCTTGATACTTCCTCTCCGTGAAGCCCAACTCCCTTCTGTTTAAGTACTGGTTGGACCCAAGTGACTAGCTTCTAATGAATAAGATAAAGCAGGACTAATCTACAACTTTGGTAACTAGGTCATAAAGTACACTAGGACTTCCTCCTTGCTCTCTCTTGGATAGCTCCCTCCAAGGGAGAGTGGCATCCTTGTTGCGAAAACATTCAGGCAACCACTGAAGAGGCCACACAATAGCCCACATAACAAGAGACTGAAGGGCATCCTGCCACAAAGTCATTTGTGTGAGCCATCTCGACAGCAGACCCTCCAGTTCCAATCAAGCCTGTAGCTGACTGTGGCCCTTGCCAACATCCTGAATGCAACTGACCAAGACAACCTGAGCCAGAACCATGCAGCTAAGCTGCTCCCCAATTCCTGACTAAATTTCACGGTAATCTGTTACACAGCAGTAGATAACAAAGAGAAATGAAGAATAAACTACCTTATAAAGTTCCTTCTCATCCCTCTCGGTCTTCAACTGACACTCCAGTTGTTCTCTTTCATATTGTGCCTTCCTGAGTTTATCCTTCAAACTGAGTTAAAGTAACATTAATATAGACAAAAAATTTTCATTAAAGCGTTTTTGAAATATGTAAGCATTTTTTAAAACCATCAGAAATACCTGTCTAATTCAGTTTCTTTTTCAACTGCTTTATGTGTCACTGACACAATATCTTCCTCAAGCTGGAGAACTTTGGATGCAGCATCATTGTATCTCTTCTTAAACTCTTCATTTTCCGTTTTTAAACTTTGTGATACTTCAACAAGATCCTAAGAAACAACAACAATTTCTGAGAAACAATCTCTAAAGCAGATTTGCATATCCTTAAGAAATCTATGTATTTTCAAATTGTTAATCCCACATTTGTCCCCTCTAAAGCTTATAAAACTAAGATTAAAAACTAAACCTTAGGGGCGCCTGGGTGGCTCAGTGGGTTAAAGCCTCTGCCTTCGGCTCAGGTCATGATCCCAGGGTCCTGGAATCGAGCCCCGCATCAGGCTCTCTGCTCCGCAGGGGGCCTGCTTCCTCCTCTCTCTCTGCCTGCCTCTCTGCCTACTTGTGATCTCTCTCTGTCAAATAAATAAATAAAATCTTAAAAAAAAAAAAAAACTAAAAACTAAACCTTAAACTGAAACATACATCCAATTTTTCATATAGCAAATCAAACAATTATTAATTTCTTTTCCAGACTTCTCATACACCCTGTTTGTTGATTTCACAAACTTCTCCACCAGAGGGCAGGCAACAAAAATGAGAGAAAAAAAATTTTAATTTGTCACTTTCATTTTTCACATCTTGTTTCTCAATGCTACTCTAGTGACAAGTCAGGTTTCATATTATACCACCACAGATAACACACTGTCAAAAAAACAACAAAAAATCCTCCTTCTTCTAGTACAGATCATTAAGTACCACCAATAATTATACAAAGCACTAAGATACACAACTAAAACAATGTTCATAATGATCCTGTCACTGTGACTCAGAGGCCTGAATAAATATCCAAAGAAACTAAAATGAATATAAAAGTAGTAAATGCAATAAAAAAGTATTCCTATTTAAAATAGAATATTCTACTTTCAACGATTTAAAAGTTTTAAAAATATTAACACATCAAGACAATTAAGTAACATACAAGAACTTGGTCAAGCTCCTTTCTAAACCCATTTTATGATATGTAAAATGAACATAATAAAGCTTTTTCTTCCTAGTTTATAAAATCATGAGAATCAACTGTAACAGTGCACATGGAGATACTTTGTTATAGAAAACTATACATCAAAGGAACTGATAAATTAAGGCAAATTGTTGTTAAAAAATGATTTTAAAACTTCCCACTTATGAAAGTACCACCCACCTAAACAACAGAAACTAAAGGAAATCATCATTCTTACAATTTAAATCTAACAAATGTTATACAGTATTTATTTTTTTTTTAAGATTTTATTTATTTATTTGACAGACAGAGACCACAAGTAGGCAGGGAGGCAGACAGAGAGAGAGAGAAGGAAGCAGACTCCCTGCTGAGCAGAGAGCCCTATGCGGGGCTCGATCCCAGGACTCTGGGATCATGACCTGAGCCGAAGGCAGAGGCTTTAACCCACTGAGCCACCCAGGCGCCCTGTTATACAGTATTTATAAGCCACTTCAATTTTCATGAAGTAACTCAACCAAATGTTTTACTTATAGGTGAAGTATCACTTTAAATAGATTACTAGAATATGAAAATTGCGATGTTGCATCTACACTTCATTAAAAATCCCATCACAGTAAGGGTCAGATACACACTCTTGGTTTTATTTTTGCTCAAAGCAAATGTTTCCTTACTAAATTTGCAACATTAAAGATTGTTATACAAAACTAAATGCTTTTCTGATTCCAGTGAAAATGCCCCAGAAATAAATAGTATTTCCTCTGCTATAAACTGTTGTCAATATCTAATGACTCCTGCAAATGTGACACATTTTTGTCTTGGTGATTTATAAAGATAGCCAGAGAGGTTTCTAAATAGTTTTTTAATTTTGTACTGTTATTTTTACCACATGCACTTTTGGCACTGCAAATAGGCTACAGATTTAATCTAGGTTATTTCTTCCTACAACAAAGACTAGATTGCGTACAGGTAAAAACTAGTTTCTAAATCTGTAATTAATGAAGTTCTGTAACAGGTAAACAGTATTCTAAAAAACGTACAGGGCAAGAACTAGGGAATATTCATAAGTAACTAAATTGCAAAACATGAACTTATTGCTTTATCGATGAGCCAGTTAACTCTACAGTGAGTCACTAACTGTAATATAACTTGACGGTCTTAGAATCTTTGCCTGGTACCCATAAAAGCACTTAATATTTTCTCCACATCCACACCTATTTTCTAATGGCATGAAAATGCTAGAAATTACTCTTCAGGCCTCTAGTTCTCATGTTTGAGTGAAGCATAGCATCTCAATTTAGCTAAGTCTTTCTTAGAATGAAAATCACATTAAACTCTGTAGTGTACATACGAATAACTAAAAATCCCGCTTTCTTTTAAAAACTTCTTAAAAAGAATAAAATTTAGAACACAATCTTTGAAAAACACTTGAAATTTGAGATAAATATTCATCTGGTCAATATTTGCAAATCTTGCCCAAAAACATAGTAATTCTAGTATTAAAATAAAACTTGACTAGATTAAGCTGCTACATTGTACATCAAGATAAAAACAATTACAAAAATGGAGGCAAAAGGAGATTAAGAGATCTGGGCATTTCAAAATCGTGTAGTGAACTTCTTCCCTCCTCTCAGGTTGAAAACTCCCCACCATGAGCCACTATTACCAATTCCTTCAAGTCCTAACTCTCAAATATGAACAACCAGAGGAAAAAAAAATAAGCCACTTATCTGTGTGGCTAAACACGCACTTTAAATATACCTAAAGTAACAGAACACACTTATTCTCAAAATAAGACAAAATTGTGACTACAAATGAATACATTTGAAAAAAAAAAACACATAATATTATGGACAACCATTTAGAAAAGATTATGGTATTCTGGATTCGAATGCATGCAGTGGTAAATTTTAGTAAATTAGTACTTGAATACTCTAAACAGCAAATTACTGACAAAAGAATTATGTCATCTGTGGAAACTGAGATTTTTAGGATTTTATTTTAGAGAAAGAAAGAGCATGAGCAAGTGGAGGGAGGGGCGGAGGAAGAGCAAGAAGCACAGAGTCCACGCTAAACTGAGAGATCAAGCTCACCACTCTTGAGATCATGATGTGTGAGTCAAAATCTAGAGTCAGACACCTGATCAACTGATCAGGGAGCCTATTCTTCCTCTCCCTCCACCCTTTTTCTACCCCCGGCTCATGCTCCCTCTCTTTCAAATAAATTTTTTTTTTTTTTAAAGATTTTATTTATTTGACAGAGATCACAAGTAGGCAGAGAGGCAGGGAGAGAGAGAGAGGAGGAAGCAGGCTCCCCGCTGAGCAGAGAGCCCAATGCGGGGCTTGATCCCAGGACCCTGAGATCATGACCTGAGCCGAAGGCAGAGGCTTAACCCACTGAGCCACCCAGGCGCCCCAATTAAATCTTTAAAAAAAAAAAAAAAAAAGTTTAAAGACTCTTAAGTTATCTCTACCCTCATGGGACTTGAATTCACAACCCTGAGATCAAGAGCTGCATGCTCTACTGCCTGAGTCAGTCAGGCATCCCAGTTGTGTGATTTTTTTAAAGTTAATTGTGGATGATAACATCTTATCACATATTTGATTTACAAATATTTTCTCCCTTCTGGAATTCACTTTTCATTTTGTTGACGGTTTCCTTTGTTGTACAGAAGCTTTATACTTTGATACAGTCTACTTGTTTATTTCTTGCTTTTGGTGTTAAATCCAAGAAAATGGTTAAGACAAATGACAAGGCGCTTATCCCCTAGCAGTTTCATGGTTTCGAGTCTTAAATCTTTAATTCATTTTGAGTTGATTTCTGTGTATGGTGTAAGACAGTGGGTCAGTTTCATTCTTTTACAAGTGGCTGTCCAGTTTTCCTAAGACTGTTCACTGAAGAGACTGTTTTTTCCCACTGTACGTTCTTGGCTCTTCTGTCATGAATTAGTTGACCAAGTAAGCATGGGTTTTATTCTGTTCCATAGAGAGATTATGAACTAGTTTAAGCTATATATTTTAGAAACAAAGTATTATGAATTTCCGGAAACTATTACTTAGCAAATCAGGTATAAAATGAAAATCGGCCTTAAAGAAATGTATTGATAAAAATACCTAAGTTATAATGATCACTCCCACAATGTTAAAGTCTCTGTGGGGTGCCTGGGTGGCTCAGACACTCAAGCACCCGACTTTTTATTTCAGCTCAAGTCATGATCTCAGGATTATGAGGTGAGCCCCTCAACTGGGCTCTGTGCCAGGGGGCATGGAGCCTGCTTAAGATTCTCTCTCTCTCTGCACCTCCTTGCTCCCACTCTAAAAAATGAGTAAATATTAAAATTCTAAAAAAATTAAATCTGGCCTTTGTGTCTTTTTTACCCAATGATAATTGGTAAGAAAGAGTTCTGGAAATTCAATGATATCATAGCTTCAAAACTGGTTTTTGGCAACTCCACGTGTTAGAGGAGAGATACACACACACACACACATATATATGCACCTAAGGCAATTCCATGTATTAAGCAGATTGTCTTAAACTACCTCTGTCCAAAACTGGATATCCAATACAGTGATAAATACAGCTTTACAGAAAAGAAAGCCAAAAACATAAAGACAGCAGAAGAGATCTGCACTAGCCAGAGTCACCATAATGAGAGATCTTTCAAGTTGCTCTTTCCTGTACCTGTTATAACTCCAAATGGCTGGTATCTTAAGGTACACTACCTAGTTTATGAAACTTAAGAATGAAAACAATATGAATAAATACAACAGTGTACAACATGCTCCTTATATTGTTTAAGCAATACTATTTAAGTATTCTCAAATATAATTTAGTTTAGAAATAGTCTGAGAGACACCTGAGTGGCTCAGTTGGTTAAGCATGTGCCTTCAGCTCAGCTCATGATCCCAGGATCCTGGGATCCAGCCCTATGTCGGGCACGCCACTCATCCGGGACTCTGCTTCTCCCTTTCCCTCTGCCCAACCCCTGCCCCAGCTCATGTTCTCTCTCATTCACTCTCAAATAAATAAAATCATAAAAAACAAAAAACAAAAACCCCGGCCAAAAAAAACCTTTAAGTACATCTTTTATTAACATTCAAGTTAAGAATACAATTTTTTTTTAAGGATTTTATTTCTTAGAGAGAGAAAGCTGCACACACAGGCAGAGGGAGAAGAAGCCACCCAGGCACCCAAGAATACTATTTTATGGGAAAAAACTCTATCATAGTTTAGGCTCCAAAAAATTATACACTGAACTATAAAACTTAACAAGGTCACAGTTCATTTTGGTTCTATTTGAAAAATAAGACTCAATATCATTGGTTCCCTGACCCTCCATTTTTAATCTTCTAATTTTCAAATACATATCCTGCACTCCAAAACAGAAACAAGAATACAATGAATATACCTAAAAACTGCTAATCGTAAGTCTGAAAAATGTAGTAGGGTTTAAAAAAAAAAAAAAAAAAAAGACTAACCAATACACAGGAGTATCATTTGACAATAAAATGAATAAAGTACTGATGCATATTTTACCACGGATGAGCCCTGGAAACATTATGCTAAGTGAAAGAGGGTCACAAAGGCCACACATGATTCCATTTGTATGCAATGCCCAAAATATATAAATCCGCAGAGCTGGAAATTTAGCTTAGTGGTTGCCTGGGACCAAGGGGAAAGGAAATGGAGAATGACCACTAACAGGTACAGATACAGGTTTCTTCTGGAGTGATGATTATGTCCTAAAATTAGGTTATGATAATGGACGCACAATTCTATAAATATTAATAAGAACTACTAAATCGTATATTGTAAAGTGTTGGACATTAGGACATGTAAATTATAAATTAACCTCATTATAGCTGTTTTTTAAAAAGATCAATTAGATTAAGTTTACATCTTTAGTGACAGGCAGAGTGTCATTAAGAGCACTGAGGAGCCAGGGACGCCTGGGTGGCTCAGTTGGTTAAGCAGCTGCCTTCGGCTTAGGTCATGATCCCAGCGTCCTGGGATCAAGTCCCGCATCGGGCTCCTTGCTCGGCAGGGAGCCTGCTTCTCCCTCTGCCTCTGCCTGCCACTTTGTCTGCCTGTGCTTGCTCTCTCTCTCTCTGACAAATAAATAAACAAAATCTTTAAAAAAAAAAAAAAATTAAAATTTAATAAAAAAAAAAAAAAAAAAAAAAAAAAGCACTGAGGAGCCAGACTGCCTACATCTACCACTTCAACTGTTCAACCACAGGCAGGTTAAATAACTTCTCTGTGCTACGTCTGTAAAATGTGTATTTAACAATGCCTACTTTATAGAATTAAACGAGTTAACATACGTTAAGTACTCAGAACAGTGCCTGGCTTACATTAAGTATTATACGGGTTATTTTTATGAATCAGCCCTTTATAATAGAGAAAACAAACACAAAGCTAAACTAAAAATGAATGTAAAAATTATCCTTAACACAAGATTTACTTATTTAAATCTAGGGTATACATGAATAATGGAACATACACAGCACATTAAAATACAGGCAAAATACAGGCAAAATAAAATACACAATTTATAGTTCTCAATTTATAGATGTTATCTGGTTTCAGTTTTAATCTACTTTGTAATCCTATTTTATTCCTTTAAGCAGCCAATTACACAACATAACCTAGAATATACTTAAGCATAACACTTAAAACCAATCTGTTTTTGATAACCAGAACACATCCAATTCTTTTAATTTTCAAAATAGGAATGTTCTCTCTATTGGCATTTCATAATACAAAGTCAGTATTTATAAAAATCAGACATTTTATTTATAAACACTTAATTATTATAAACATTTAAGTTAGTATTTGTCAAGTAATGAATGGGTAACAAGCTCATCTTATTTTATAAAACAGGAAAACGCAATTTCTTCTATTAGGAAGAAACTGAAGGTTGCCAGACATTCCTAGTAGACTGTCCATTCTAAAATTTTAAGTGAAATTATAGATGATACATCATAACAGTTCTTCAGATATTCAGCAATATATATACCCAGTACCTCAAAGAGATGACATTTAGAATTACTACACTGAAATTTGTTATTTTAGAATTCACACTATGGAAGAGATTTAAAACAAGTGCCAAGAAATGTCATGGATTTCGTAAACTACCCAACTAAGAGAAGAAAGCTGTTCTAGCTGCCCAGAAGAAGAATGATTTAGAAGGTGAAAAGATGAAAATTTTAAAAAAGAAAATTAAAAAAAAAAAGTGCCCATGGCTAGTAACAAAAAGAACTATTTCTTCTAGCAAGCACGTTATCTTATCCCCAGAAATAAGGAGGCAACTGGGGAACCTGGGTGGTTCAGTGGGTTAAAGCCTCTGCTCCGGCTCAGGTCATGATCTCAGAGTTCTGGGATCGAGCCCAGCATCAGGGCTCTCTGCTCAGCGGGGAGCCTGCTTCCCCCCCCCCCCCCCCCCCCCCCCCCGCCTGCCTCTCTGCCTACTTGTGATCTCGCTCTCTGTCAAATAAACAAATAAAATCTTTAAAAAAAAAATAAAAAATTAAAAAATAAAGAAATGAGGCAACTGCCAACATATAACTAAGATTTTTTTTAAACATAAGTAAATATCACTTCTAGGATCTGAGAAAAATGGTATGAATTTCATATTTTAGTTCTCTCTCTAGTTCATCATTATGAAAACTAGTAAAATAGTATTTACTTACATTTAGTGAGAATCTATTACAGAAGAAACACCAATCTAGGTTTTTTAAAGATTTTATTTACTTGAGAGAGAACACGCATATGGTGGGGGTGGGGATGGGGGTGGGGGCCTAGGGAGGGATAAAGAGAGAAGGGCAAGCAAATTCCATGCTGAGTGTGGAGCCCAACATGGGGCTCATTCCCAAGAGTATGACCTGAGCTGAAACAGAGAGTCTGACACTCAACCGACTGAGCCACGCAGGCAACACAAGTCTTTTTTTACATCACCATTTTCACAGCATAGAATAGCATTTAAAAAGCCACTTCCACATACTTCATCTTCCCAGAGTATAAACCCAACAGAAAAATAACAGAAAGGAAGAAGTCCCCTCTAAGATTAGTGTCTGTCATTAAGATTTATGAGTTGTCATAAAAACTTCTGCTATATACCTCCTCCGGGTACAACAGCCACAATCTCCTATAAATTTTGCTTCACTTGGGGCGCCTGGGTGGCTCAGTGGGTTAAGCCGTTGCCTTCAGCTCGGGTCATGATCTCAGGGTCCTGGGATCGAGCCCCGCATCGGGCTCTCTGCTCAGCAGGGAGCCTGCTTCCTCCTCTCTACCTGCCTCTCTGCCTGCTTGTGATCTCTCTCTGTCAAATAAATAAATAAAATCTTAAAAAAAAAAAAAAAAATTTTGCTTCACTAATCCCCTCACCTCAATCTACTACTTTCTCAACCTAAGTATGTCAGAATTAGCTCTCTTCATTACGGTCTTATAGTGCTTAACCCTTGTCACCTGGACAGCAGAGAATACCTGAGACTTTAAATCTCAGCTAATAACTCAACTGGACCAGATGCATGGCCTCGTGTACATAAATAATTTCACACAATTGAAGGCCTTCTATTCTTCTAATGATCCGTTCTTCCCTTGGATTTCAAGGTGATAAGAGTTGAAACCTCAAAGGCCACATTTCAGGGTATTCTGATCTTATTAAGCTAAGGAAGTATAGGCTGTAATGGGGCCATTTTCAAGAGTACTGTCTTCTATCTCACCTCCACCCCTCCAACTTGTAACAGAGTGAAAGAAAAAAGATTGGCATTCCAAAATCAGGTACAAATGAGATAAAAGTGTAAAGAATAGAACAGTATAGTAACTACACAAAACAGCCAAGGGGTTTCAACAACTGAATAAATCATTTATGTGAATGTCCTAACAATCAAGGTAGGCACATATATTATACTTTAATATTTGGTTTGCCTGCCTAAACGGCACAATACTCCCACAGTAGGATTCTAAGTGTTCCCCCCAAGAGGAAAATGGGGAAGTAACTGCATCTTTTAAACTAAAAAGGCTAATGGTAATAAAAACAATGTTACAGGTATTTATAAGGAGAAATTCACAATTCTACACACTGCTTCATATTATGTTTACCATCTAAGGCAAAAGAGTACACTTCAAAATGACAAGTCAAGAGAAAATCTTTCCAGAATTTAAGCCCTATTTATGTATCATCTCTGGTCAGGCATGCAATTTACAACCACTCTGCTAGAGTATAAAAATTAGTGAAAATCACTGCACTACTGGTTTAAGTAACAATTATGTAACTGCTCTAGGCCTTGTTGGACAAAATGGAACACAACCCACCCTTAGAAAACAACAGGTTAATTCTGTAAGAAGACCTAAGAATATCCAACAAGTTATAAATCAGATTATGAAACATATTATCATATATCATAACAAATTACTTTTCTTGGGAATATGAGTCAATGACTAGGTGATTGCCTTTTTTTTTTTAAAAGTGTTTTCATCTACTAAGTTAAATCCATTTGTATCTCTAATGAAACTATATGGTTTAATACGTGTACTTCTTTATGTGTTCTTTCAGGATAATTTATAGCATTTCTCACATCATGGAGTTCAAAATTTTGTCTAATACTACATCTTATTTCACTGAATTGTCTTGAAAGGTAATTTTAACTTCTTTGTTCTACATTCCCCTTATTCAATATTTATCACTCCTAATTAGATTTCCAAACCCTCTCCCAAAATCAATCAATTACTCTAGAATTAGATGGAAAGCATATAGAAACAATTGTCAAAAACCACCTCATCAAGCCTGGTACCAAAAATTCTAAAAGTATTTTAACTATTTAGAACATAAAAAGCAGCTATAACAGAAAACTGACAGGAACTAATCTTTCCTTCTCTAAGTATTTATCTTAATGCCATTTTTTAAGAACAGTTTTTACTTGTTTTAACTGATTCAGTTCTTGGAAAAGTGGGTTTCAGACATTATACTATAAATCCCAATAAGTTACATGAAACACAACTAACCTTTTGCTCTGCCTGCAGTTGGTCACATCTTTCTTTCTCATGGTTAAGTTCTCTTTCCAATCTTCCAACCTGTTCTCGAAGTTGTGTTGTTTCTTTTTCCAGTACAGCAATTAATTTTAACAGTTCTTCTTTTTCTTTCATGGTTTTCTCAATCTTCAACTATAAAACAAAAAATTCAAATTGATTTTTCTATAATCCTAAAATATTATTCCATTTTCCATTTCAAAAATAATGAAGAAATTCATAAAAAGAACTTGTACATATAATCTACTTTATAAATCATACATGTAAATAAAAATTTATGAATCATAAATTTAAATCTTTTGGTCGGGCAAAAAATAACATTAAAAGAAGGTACAAAATCAGGTGCACCTGGGTGTGTCCGTCTGTTAAGCGTCTGCCTTTGACTCAGGTCATGATCCCAGGAACTGGGATCAAGCCCCACATCCAGTTACCTACTCAGTGGAATCTGCTTTCCCCTTTCCCATAGACCCTCCCCCAAACTTGTGTGCCCAAGTACTCTCACTCTCAAATAAAATCTTTAAAAATAAAAGTATAAATTCAGTAAATTTTACCATGAAGTTGCCTGCTAATCAATTTTCAAATAAGTAGCAAAACAAGGCATATTGTTTTCATAACTGACTTAATTCTGGGTTTTTCTTAAATAATAATCAAGATAAAAATGTGTACCTCTTCTTAAATGTAAAGCTATGAGATATCTTTGATTTTGAAGAACTTCCTTATATGTTAAATAAGGCCTTCATCTATGGCGTTACTCTTAAAAGTTTTGGTATTGGGGCGCCTGGGTGGCTCAGTGGGTTAAAGCCTCTGCCTTCGGCTCAGGTCATGATCCCAGGGTCCTGAGATCGAGCCCCATGTCGGGCTCTCTGCTCAGCGGGGAACCTGCTTTCCTCTCTCTCTCTCTGCCTGCCTCTCTGCCTACTTGTGATCTCTGTCAAATAAATAAATAAAACTAAAAAAAAAAAAAAGTTTTGGTACTAAGTAGTATCAGTTGCTACATTTATAATAGATTCTATTTGACTTAATTAAAACTTAAAGTAACTGCGAGTTTTAGGACAAAAATGCAGGCTGTAACAATAAATTCACAATGTAACTGATTCTTATGGGAACGCTAACAGTAACTCAATTCAGGAAAACATATACGCCAGGATTCTAAAAAATTACTCATTAAAGTACTACTAAATATAGTAATACTGAAATAGTAGTAAAAAAAATGGTTAACATTTCTTAGCTTTACATTTAGAACAAAAAGTCTTTGATTCTAACAGGAATAATGAAGATTCAGAGGGAAAATTTCACAAAGGAGGCAACATACATTTAGCTAAAATAAAATGTTTTCCTGCACTAAGTTGGTATCAAACTGATTAAACTGGGATCAAACTGGTTAAACTCTAAAATGGGCCTTATGAAAGCTGAAAAGCTACAAATTTTTATTATGACTCTTCTATCTCTTCCATCCGACCAAATGAAAACATTAGGAGTAAATGCCCTCAAAAGAGAAAAGTTTATTCAAAAAAGAAAAGATTATTATTAAACTTCTTTTATTCCTTACTTTTTTAAAAACACATTTTGGCTCTAAACTTTCTGGCAGCTTAAACGTGAAAATATATCCTGACGTAGTACAGTAGAAAAATTAAGAACCAATTTTTCCCTGTGATTCATTTAATTGGCACATACCTTCTGAAGAGTTTACTGAAACTTAAGTAGAAATTTTAAAGAGGAATTCAAATTAGATAAAAATGTATAGAAAGAAGTCTGATTCCTGCCTCCAATTTTGTATCTGAAATCTTTCAAGCATACCAAATTAAAGCTTGAAATCAACACTCATCACCTAAACTCACTGATTAATATTAGTATGAACAACTTAAATTTACTGAAATATTAATAATGTTTACCTCATATCCCTTTATCACTTACTTATGCTTTTTTTGCTAAACCATCTGAAATTCCAGACACTTCCCCCTAAGTACTCAGAGCAAGCATCTCCTAAAAAGGAGTCTCCTTTTCAACCACTACCACTATCATAAACAAGAAAATTAACAACTTTATAACATCCAATGGATAGTTCATAGTTATGTATCTCCCACTAACCCCCCAAAATAGCTATTTTTTAAATTCTAAGATCCAATCAAGGTTCACACCTACGTGAAAAAAAAGATACAACCCCTTCAATGTCAACGATGCCACAGACGTCTCATATTTGTACTAACTTTGTGCAGTCTTAGATAAAATCATTAAAGATTTTGATGAATGTGGAAAATTTGAAAGACTTGTCAAAATACTAGTCAGAATAAAAACATTTTATCTCACCAATTATCTCAGCACCTAAGAGACAGCAACTTAAATTTTCTTTATAAAGTACCTCTTGTGAATAGGAAGAAATGAAATAAATTGTTTAACATCTAATAAATTGTGTAACTTAGAAAAGGAGCTTAAGAAAGATATAGATGCCTAAATGCCTGTTTTTTTTTGTTGGAGGCCCTGAAATCAGGGTGGTCTAACACGTATTCAAAAGGCTACAGTATAAATGCTAACTGCATTCTTTTTAAGAGCTAGGCTTGTTTCACCATCTTTGACTAGCATTCAAATACCAGGCTAAAAACCTTGATCATCAGGCAGTTGTCACCACAAAACGTTTTAGTCACCCTATAAAAGTTACATTTCTTTATTTAAGATAAGAGAAGAATTTCTGGAAGGGGAAGGGAAGATATGGAAGAATTCACAATAAAAAAATGATTGGTTCCTTCTAACCTTCTTAGTTTGACTATCTAATAAAAGCATTAGATCTATGACCTTATCTTTTTCCTCTAGTCTCTTTTTGAAGATAAATAAAACCAAAGGCATAGAGTATTTATTTATAAAAAACATCCATCTGACTATAAAGAAAAAGCAAGGGGCGCCTGGGTGGCTCAGAGGGTTAAAGCCTCTGCCTTCGGCTCAGGTCATGATCCCGGGGTCCTGGGATCGAGTCCCGCATCGGGCTCTCCTTGGTGGGGAGCCTGCTTCCTCCTCTCTCTCTCTGTCTGCCTCTCTGCCTACTTGTGATCTCTCTCTGTCGAATGAATAAATAAAATCTTAAAAAAAAAAAAAAAAAAAGAAAAAGAAAAAGCAAGGACCCGCCAGATTAAATATGAGTGGAAATTAACCAAAAATATATAACGAACCAATTAAATAAGCTGTTTTTCACAGAAATTCAAATGTAACATTCTAGTTTTTTGGTTTAAAGATACTGAAATCTTGAAGTAAGAATGCTGTTCTATTTTGTCCTTCAATAATTACCAGAATTTGACATAAAGTATTATTAGATTATCTATATAGTAAATTTCTATATTAAAATATTTAAGAAGCTTTTCACCTTTTCTCTTTAAATTATGATTAACACACAATACTCACTTGATAAAATGAACAAGGAAATCTTTCTAAATGCTCAACCTAAACTGAGACTAGAATCTTTCCTAATTCACTGCCGTACTTGGAATAGAGCATTCTTGTACAGTGAGATGAAGTTCACATGCAATTACAATTAGATGTATTACTTTATACCAGCTTCACAACCTAAATCTGTACTATTCTATAATCAATGGATAAGGCAACCACTAAAGAGGAAAAGTCAGTGTAAGGTAACATTAAGAAAGCTTTAAATCTAACTCAATAGTTATTTACTGTGTATCTATGCACAAAATACCGATAGGCCCTAGGAACAGTTCCTGCACAGTATAATCAATTAACCTGTGGCAGGAAGAAATTTAAAGTATTTCAGAAACAACACTCTAAGTTTACCATTTTAGTTTAAAACCATTTAACTTTCAGATTCTTCTTCTGAATTTTTTAAATTCAGAAGCTCTGTTCTTAAATTACCTATAAATTATTAGCTCAGTGTTGGTTCCTACCTCAAGAAGGCCAGCTTTTGTGGTCACCACCAACATGTCAGAATTTCCTTCATCTTCCATAGTAAGTAACTCTTCAACTGGAGAAGCAGCTCGAAACTGGAAAGGTGTACTTGCTCCACGAATTTCACCCTTATGGGTAACATAACAGAACTGATAAAATTCTCCATCATCATTTGGAAGGTAATATCCTAAAAAGAAGTACAAAAAAAAATTAAGTGGTTTTTTTCCTCCAATTTACCATTACTAGCTCTCTCCACTCATTTCTGACCTGTTCTAGGCACACAGATTAAGTAAGTCCTTCCTCCTTTCTTTCACAAATTATCAAAACTAGACCCTCCCTTCTTCTGTAAACACGCCCTAATTTCTCTTAGGTCTAAATCTGTCCTCCCTGGAATATCCTTTCCCTTTATCTTCACTAGGGCAAAACCAACTTATCTGGAAGAGTCACATAATGTTTCTCTTTTTTCTCTTTTTCTTTAAGACTTAGGGAAGAGAGAGAACCCATGAGTGAGAGGGGGAGAGGAGGAGAGAATATCAAGCAGACTCCACACTGAGTGCAGAACCCTATACAAGGCTCAATCCCATGACCCTGAGATCAACCCGAGACAAAACCAAGAATTGGACACCCAACCAACTGCGCCACCTAGGTGCCCCAACACATATGTTTTCAATGAGGAAAGAGACTGGAGGAGGAACAAGGGAAGACCCAGAACAAAAATCTAGAATTGCAGGTAGGAATATGTCATTTAAAGAAATCTTCCCTCGGGGCTCCTGGGTGGCTCAGTCGGTTAAGCATCTGCCTTCAGGTCAGGTCATGATCCCAGAGTCCTGGGATGGAGCTCTGCCATCAGGCTCCAGGTTCAGTGGGAAGTCGGCTTCTCCCTCTGCCTCTGCCTGCTGCTCTCCCTGACTGTGCCCTCACTCTGTGTCAAATAAATAAAACTTGAAAAAAAAAATAAATTTTCTCTCAAATTTGACATTCACTGCATGACAGATAGATATTAACAAAAGGAATATGCTGTATGTGAATTGTGTAAAAGACAGGAAGAAGTTGTTCACTGGTGCAGCAGAATAAAAACAGCTTTGGAACCACACAGCTTTATTCTGGAATTCGAGCTCTACTACTAGCCATTAGTGACTCAACCTCCGCGAGCCCCCGTTTCTTAATCTGCAAAAAAACTATGAAGACATCTATCTTACAGGTCCAGATTATCTATAATGTATTTACACCATACAGCCCAGTATCTATACGTGTTTGATATTTGTTCCTTCTTTCTTCATCTCTTACCCACTTTTTAAATTTTGCTAATTATCCTTGCTCAAAATTAAACTTTACCTTCTCTCCAAAGCTCCCATGGTATTTTTTACATTAAAAAAAAATTCCACAGGGCGCCTGGGTGGCTCAGTGGGTTAAGCCGCTGCCTTCGGCTCAGGTCATGATCTCAGGGTCCTGGGATCGAGTCCCGCATCGGGCTCTCTGCTCGGCAAGGAGCCTGCTTCTCTCTCTCTCTCTCTCTCTGCCTGCCTCTCTGTCTACTTGTGATCTCTCTCTGTCAAATAAATAAATAAAATCTTTAAAAAAATAAATAAATAAAAAATAAAAAAATAAAATTCCACAATGTACTATCAATTACCACTGGTAATATACATGCTTTTATATGCTTTGTCAAGAACTCAGAAATACTGAGGGCAGATAAATAATATGTATAAAAATTCTAGCATCCCCCATTAACAACTTCTAAAAAGGAAGCATTCAGTGGTGGTGAAATGAATATATTAAAATCAATACAAGGATGTCTGGTTGGCTCTGCGGGTTAAGCGTCTGCCTTCAGCTCACGATCCTGGAGTTCCAGGGATCAAGCCCTAAACTGGGCTCCCTGCTCAGGAGGGAGGCCTGTTTATTCCTCTGCCCCTCCACCTGCTCATGTGCCTGCCCTCTTTTTCTTTCTCTCAAATAAAATCTTTTTAAAATTTAAAAAAAAAAAAAAAAAGGGATCAATACATTCACCTTATCTTGAATATCCCTATTTATCCAAAAATCTCTAATCAATATGCCTGTTTTTCTTTCACAACTTCAAAGTTTCAGATTATATTTACTTACCTTGATTTCATTTGTTAAAAAAAAAAAAAAGCTAACATTCTTCCTTAGAAACAGAAGGAAGGAGAAAATACAAGATAAGCCTGAAATATCTTGTGGTACTTGAAAGAAAGAAGTCCTCAAAAAAAAAAAAAAAAAAAAAAAAATTTAAAGTGGCAGGGGACAGAGGGAATGTCAAAAAATACGAGAGCTCATGTGATGGAACTCCCAATGTCCAAGAAAGCTGGAATAATTTAAGCAACAACCAAAAAAGGTAGTATTAGACTTTATTCCAAAGCAGAAAATAAATATCCATGAGTCCACTGGGAAGTCCAATGTAATAATTCCAATAATAAATGTTCAAGCAATGAAAATAGAAAAGCATTGTTAGGCAAACACAGTAAAAATTGCTATAAGCAAGATCTACTGAGAGACTGTAAAATTAGTGGGTGACAGTTGAAGGAAAAACAAGGTATTTCCTTACTCTCTAACTCCCCCCAGAACATTCCTTAACTACAAAAGGAAAAATACTAACTATAGTAAAGAAACCCAGCAGACACCAAATGATCAAGATTAAGATCACTAGCAATGAGACGAACATCAAGTACCCCCTGATACAATGCACTATAAAGGGTATAACAGCACTTATATGACATTCTTCCTAAAGATGTATAAGCTCAATCTAATCATGAAAAAACACCAGCACAAAAACAGGAACGTGTTATCCTCCCCGCCACCCAAAACACACTGAATAGTAATACTACTATTCAAAAGGGGCACGTCGGTGGCTCGCTCAGTCCTTGGGCATCTGCCTTCATCTCCCACCCTGGTCTTAAGAGTCCTGGGATCAAGCCCTACATCCTGCTTCTCTCTTCTCTGCCTGTCGCTCCCCATGCTTGTGCACTGGCTCATGTTCTGTCAAATAAATAGATAAAATCTTTAAAAATAGTAATAATGATACTCTTCAAAAAGGTAAAAGTCATGCAAGACAAGGACAGAATGAAGAACTGTCAGACTGGAGGAGATAAGAAGATAACACAATTAAATGCAAAGTGAGATTCTGGATTGGATCCAGGAAAGAACACTATTAGAAACACTTAATAAAATTTTAATAAAGTTTATACTTTAGTCACTAGTGTTATACCAATGTTAAATTCCTATCTTTTTAAATAAATGTACTATATAAAATGTTAACATAAAAGGAAGCTGGGTAATGGGTATACGGAAATTCTGTGTACTATTTTTGCAACTTTACATCCAAAATTATTATAAAATAAAAAGTTTAAAAACTTTTTATGGGGGTGCCTGGGTGGCTCAGTTAATTAAGCATCCAACTCATTTCAGCTCAGGTCATATTCTCAAGGTTTTAAGACTGAGCCCTGCATTGGGCCCCACACTAGTGTGCAGCCTGCTTAGGATTCTCTTTCCCCCTCTTCTCCTCCACCCCCACTCCTCACCCTCTCTTAAGGAAAGAAAAAAAAAAAAGAAAAAGAAATTAACACAGGAGTAGATTTGGCAATAAACTTCCAAATTTTGAAAAACTCACCCTCCTTATACAAATAAATTTATTAAGCCATGACTGAGTAACTTAAATGGCCATCAGACTTATTTTAAAGTTTAAATAGGAAAAAAAAATTAGAGAGCACTCTAACTAATCAGCTCTGGAATCAAGACATTCAAAATTTTACAAACTAGACAGTCAAGGTCCGATAAATCTCACAAAAATAATTCACTAATAAATGGTTCAAATACCATTTGAGATACAAAGCCTAGTTATTCAGAGTTGCAACTTAAAGCTGTCTAGAAAAATCATTAGATGAATAACATTGAAAATAAAATAGTAAAGCAATCAGTCAAATAACAAGGTCCATATAGAGAAAGAATTACACTTACATATCTTTGGTAGTTGTTCTGAGTTTTGCATTTCAAAAGTCTTATGACTCATTCACAAAATGAGCAAAGCAATTCTGGATAATGCTTAAAATTTCCTCTAGCTCTAATACACTAGGAGTAAGTTTTTCATGACTCTATCCTGACCTCTTTATGTAACAAATGAGTTCTAGGCAGGCTGAAGCTTTTATTTCTGAATTTCAAAGTAAAAATTAACATGATGAGTTTTCAAAAACTTGGAAAACTTACTGCCTTTATGCTTAGCTCCCATGAAAATGTTCTTAAAGTACAAACAAACCAGATGCTTTTTTTTTTTCCCCAAACTGCTTTTAAACCTCTTGGTAAATCACTAGTAAAACATTAGTCACTATAACAAATGAGTAAATTAGTTTAAGAAAATTAATCACATTAAAAATGATTAAAAATGACTGGAAATAAACCCACAATTTTTAAGAAAAAAAATATCTTGGGGCACCTGGGCAGCTCAGTCAGTTAAATGTCTGACTGTGGCACAAGTCATGATCTCAGGATCCTAGGATTCTGAGTCCGGCTCCCTGCTCAGCAGGGAGTCTACTTATATGCCCACCCCTCTGCGCCACCCCCTGCAGCTAATAAAAATCTTTAAAAACAATCTTAACAAAAAAATCAGTTCCAGGGGCAGCGGGTGGCTCAACTGGTTAAGCCATTGTCTTTGGCCCAGGTCATGATCCCAGAGTCCTGGGATCAGTCCCATGTTGGGCTTCCCCTGCTTGGCAGGGAGCCTTCTTCTCCCTTGCCTCTGCCTCTCCCCATGCCTGTGCACGCACCCACACGCGCGCTCTCTCTGCCAAATAAATAAAATCTTAAAAAAAAAAAAAAAATCAGTTCCAATATATACATCTGAATTTGATTATCTAAAAAGAGTCTATAAATTAAAAGATAAACCAGATTTATAATTTACACCATTTCTTAATCCATAAAACACTACAAGGACCTAAATCTTGGCCTATGTTACAGTACAAATTTTATCCTCTGAATGGTTCTTGACATAGTACGTAACAAATTTCTTTTATATGCTAGTTCCACATGGTCACAATGCCAACTCATTTTCACACCAAACATACACAAACCTCAGAATAAAGTTTTTTTGAAAAGTAAACCACCAAAACCCAAAACACTGCCAACACTGAATGCCAGCAAAGACACAGCAGAACGAGAAATCTCATTCAATGCTAATGGTAATGCCAAATGATATATAATCACTTTGGAAAAGTCTGGTGGTCTCTTACAAAACTAAACATACCATATGATCCAGCAACTGTACTCCCTGGTATTTACCCAAATGAGTGGAAAATGTATATCCATACAAAAACCTGTGAATATATGTTTATACCAGTTTTATTCACATTGACAAAACTTGGAAGCTGCTAAGGTGTCTTTCTTTAATAGACGAATGAACAAACTCTTAAACCCATTAGACCCATTCAATAGAGTATTACTGCTTCCTTTGTAGTTTTCTGCATTTTTTTTTTTAATTTAAAGATTTAATTATTTATTTGAGAGACAGACTGTGCATGAGCAGGAGGGGTGGTGGGGGTAGGGGTAGAGGGAGAACCTGACTCCACAGTGAGCAGGAAGCCTGATGCAGGACTTGATCTAAGGACCATGACCTGAGCCAAACACAGATGCTTAACCAACTGAGCCACCCAGGCACCCCTAGTTCTCTGCATTTTATGCGCATTACAATACCATCTGAGACAACATTCACTAGTTTCTACAGACCAAAAAGAATCCATAGCATAAACAAGGCTAAGAATTTGCTTTAATATAATCCAAAAATCAGGGCAATTATAATACGAAGATCACTCTGAAGCAAATTCTAAGACAGAATTCTAAATGGACTATTTTTTAAATTATGTATATAATGCCAAGCTAAGAATAAACTTTATATTCCCTTACATCCATTTTATAAAGCAACTGCTCTATAAACCATATAACCTCTATAAACTGTGGTTTTCATATAGAATTATTTTTCTCACCCTAATTCGTTACATTATTCTACTATCAGTAAGTTTTCTTATTTGGAAAAAAACCACAACAAAAGCAATCCAAAGTGAAGATCTGCAAAGAAACACACTCTTCAATGAAAAGCAAAGAAACCTCTTAAAATGTCCATATAAAATATGTATCCTACACTACATATTTACATTCTTGAAATTTTTGCTAAACAAAGATACTAATTAATTCAATTTTGATATGTTAGACATGCCTAAGTAGACCATCAGAATGGAGAACATTTTAAATGGCAAGAAAACATCAAATCTCATCAAGTTCTTTTGAAATTTGAATTTTGAAATTTGATGAAAACATCAAATTTCATCAAATTGTTTTCAGTTCTTACCTTGAAATGCTAATACACAATTAACTGTTGATCCTTCTACGTAATGTTCAGGCATAGGAGACCATAAAAATGTGTAATAATCACGAGCAGTACTCCATCCAACCTAAAGGAAAATAACAAAAACTCAGATTAGAGTGGTATCTTATAGTGTACTGTTTTTACTGCATCCGAAAGTTAAAACATGTGTCACCATGTTTATAAATCACTGAGCATTTTAACAAGCATGTCAAATTTTTATGATTTTTATTAAGCTGTAAGCTTATGTTATAAAAACCCATATATTGAACAGCAGAGTTTCTATTATGTGTTAAAAATGCAATCTGATACTCAATTTCTCAAGAAGAATCTCAGCATGCACATGATCAAATATAACAACTTGTGTTTCCCTTAAAATTTGATTTCACTAAACTTAAAAGAGTTTTCCTTTTTTTTTTCTTTTAGGCAGAGCTTGAACTTACCACCCAGACCTAAGCCAAGATCAAGAGGCAGACACTGAACCCACTGAGCCACCCAGGTATCCCCTCACTAAACTTCTAAAACTTCCTACTTTATGTCTCAAATCTCAGTGTAATTAGATTTTTCTATCTTGAACATGGTTAACTTCACCAATCTCTCATGCCGAGTCTTAACTCCAGCCAACTGGTAAATTTTGCAAAAAGTCCCTTATTATCAAGATGTTTATATATACAAATAGAAAACCTAGGGGCACCTGGGTGGTTCAGTGGGTTGAAGCCTCTGCCTTCGGCTCAGGTCATGATCCCAGGGTCCTAGGATCTAGCCCAGCATCACATCGGGCTCTGCTTAGTAGGAAGCCTGCTTCTCCCCCTCTCTCTGCCTGCCTCTCTGTCTACTTGTGATCTCTGTCAAATAAATAAACAAAATCTTGAAAGAAAGAAAGAAAGAAAGAAAGAAAGAAAGAAAGAAAGAAAGAAAGAAAGAAAACCTATGTCCCATGTATATCTAAACCATTTTCAACTTATAAAACATACATATTACAGATCTCAGTCTGTATCTTCTAGATGGACTATAAGATGTTAAATACTGAATATTAGAGATATTTAAACAGGTATACACAAAACTCATTGTGCATCACAGATACTCTGTTGTGTTTTGTTTGTACAAAGTGAAGGTTTGGGATAACCTCGAATCAAACAACTCTATCAGCGCAATTTTCCAAACAGCATTTGTTCACCTCACTGCTCTATATCACATTTTGGTAATTCTCTGAGTATTTCAAACTTTTTCATTATTATTGCATTTGTTATGGTGACCTACAACAGTGATCTTCAAATATTACTATTATTAACTGTTTTGCAGTATCACAGACTAGGCCCATAAAAGATGATGAACTTAATATACATGTTTTGACTACTCCACTAACTGGCCATTACCCAATCTTTCTCCCCCTTAAGCCTCCCTATTTCCTGAGACCCAACAATATTGAAATTAGGCCGTTTATTAAACCTACAGGGGCCTCAAAGTCTTCTCACAGGAAAAGACAGATCTCACTCTTAAAATCAGAGCTAGAAATGATTAGGCTTAGTGAGGAAGGCCTGTCAAAAGCCAAGACAGCCTGAAAGCCAGGTCTCCTGCACCAAACAGCCAAATTATGAATGCAAAGGAAAGATTCTTGAAGAAAATAAAAGTGCTACTCAGGTGAACACACAAATGATAAGAAGCAAAACAGTCTTATCGCTGATATGGAGAGTTTTAATCATCTGGATAGAAGATTAAACCAGCCACAACACTCTCTCAAGCCAAAGCCTAATCCAAGGCAAGGCCCTATCCTATCTTCAACTCTTAAGATGGAGAGAAGAGAAGAAGCTACCAAAAAAGTTTGAAACTAGCAATGGCTGGTTCATGAGACTTATAGAAAGCATCTCCATAATACAGAAAGGTAAAGTGAAGCCACAAATATTAATGTAGAAGCTGCTGCATCCAGTTACCCAAAAGATCTAGCTAAGATAACTAATGACGGTGGCTACACTAAATAACAGATTTTCAACGTAGATGAAACACTCTTATTTTGGAAGAAGCCATCTCAGACTTCACAGCTAGAGGAAAAAGTCAATGCCTGGCTTCAAAGGACAAGCTGACTTTCTTCCTAAGGGCCAATCCAGCTGGTATTTTTAAGCTGAAACCAGTACTCATGTACCCTCTCAAAAATTCAAGGCCCCTTAAGAATTTTGTTAAACCTACTCTGCCTGTGCTCTATAAATGGAACAAAGCCTATATGACAGCACATCTGTCTACAACATGGTTTACTAAATGTTTTAAACCCACTGTTGAGACCTACTGCTGAGAAAAGAAACATTCATTTCAAAATCCTACAGCTCATTCACAAAGCAGCTGTTTATTCAAGGGCTCTGATGGAGACATACAACAAGGTCAATGTTGTTTTCATGCCGGCTAATATAATATCCACTCTGCAGCCCACAGATCCAGAGTAATTTCAACTTGTAAGTCTTGTTATTTAAGAAATACATGTTGGGGGACGCCTGGGTGGCTCAGTTGGTTAAGCAGCTGCCTTCAGCTCAGGTCATGATCCCAGCGTCCTGGGATCGAGTCCCGCATCGGGCTCCTTGCTCGGCAGGGAGCCTGCTTCTCCCTCTGCCTCTGCCTGCCACTCTGTCTGCCTGTGCTTGCTCTCTCTCTCTCTCTGACAAATAAATAAACAAAATCTTAAAAAAAAAAAAAAAAAAAAAAAAAGAAATACATGTTGGGCACCTGGGTGGTTCAGTCAGTTAAGCATCTGCCTTCCACTCAAATCATGATCCTAGGGTCCTGGGATCAAGTCCTGAATTGAGCTTCCTATTCAGTGGGGAATCTGCTTCTCCCTCTACCCCTCCCCCTGCTCAAGATCTCTCTCAAATAAATAAATAAAATCTTTTAAAATATATATACATTTTGAAAGGCTATAGCAGCTATAGGTAATAACTCCTCTGATAGATCTGGACAAAGTAGGCTGAAAACCATCTAGAAAGAATTCACCATTCTAGATGCCCTTAAGAACATTCACAATTCATGGGAATAAGTCAAAACACCATCACCAACAGAAGTTTGGAAGATGCTGATTTCAACCCTCATGGATGACCTGCAGGAGTTCAAGACTTCAGTGGAGGAAGTAACTGCAGATGTAGTAGAAACAGCAAAGGAACTAAAATTAGAAGTGGAGCCTGAAAGATGTGACTGAATTGTTGCAATCTCATGACAAAACTTAAAATAGATAAGAAGGAGATGCTTCTTATGGATGAGTAAAGAAACATTTGAGGTGGAATCTACTCCTGGTGAAGATGCTGTGAAGATTACAGAAATGACACCAAAAGACTTAAGAGTATTACAGAAATTTAGCTTGTAAAACAGCAGCAGGGTTTGAGAGGACTGACTGCAATTTTGTAAAAAGTTCTACTGTGGGTAAAATGCTACAGAAAAATAGTTCATGAAAGGAAGAGTCAATGGATATGACAAACTTCATTACTGTCTTTTTCTTTTCCTTTTTCTTTTTCCTAAAGCAAATTCAACCCCGATGTGAGGCTCGAACTCACAACCCAGAGATCAGGAGTCCCGTGCTCCACCGACTGAGACAGCCAAACACCCCTTTTGTTGTCTTATTTTAAGAAATTGCCACAACCATCCCAACTTTCAGCAACCACCACCCTGACCAGCCAGGAGCTTTCAAACATCATGGCATGACCAGCAAAAAGAGAAATCGCTGGAAGATTAGATGATGGTTAGTTTTTAGCAATAAAGTAGTTAATTAAGGTATATACATTGGGTTTTTTAGCCATAATGCTATTGTATGCTTAATAAAAACTATAATACAATGTAAACAACTTTATACGAACTGGGAAACCAAAAAAATTGTGACTCACTTCACGACTGTGATGTGGTGGTCTAGAACCCCACCCATAATATCTCCAAGGTATGCCTGTACTAGACATCCATTTGCAGAAAACGTAAGAAATTATGCATCATCCACAAGTTTAGACTATACATACATTCTGTAATTCTGACAGACCTGGGATAAGATTACAGAACATTGAATCTAAAAGAATATTAGCAATCTTTATAGTCTCTAAAAGAGTGCTTTTAAACTGGAAGTACTACTTCCACTTGGAAGTGGTAATATCAATGCAGTGGTTCACAGCCCTTATTTCTTAATTATACAGAATTAGAAAATACCAATGCATAAAGGCTAAATAATGCTTCTTGAAAATCTGCTTCATGAGTACTTGCATACAACTAATTGCTAGGCAAAGTCACAGAATTTCTTTCTGTCAGTCAAAAACATTTGAAAACATTTAAGACATCATTCATGTCTTTGTATGAGAGAAACTTGAGGAACCCATGACATGATCTACCTCATAAGGCTGTTATTGTTTCTCCCAGGAATGTTAATAGAATTAAATTAGATGATGAACATAAAACCAATACCCAGGAGAGTACCTGACCCACAGTAAGCACTTCATAAATGGTAGTTTTTGCACACACAATATATTGTAGTGATTAAGAGCATAGGAAATAAGATCAGACTGCCAAAAAGATCACTTACTAGCTATATGACTTCAGTCAGGTTATTTCTGTTCCCTCCTCTTTAAAATGAAGATGATAATCTCAAAGGGTTGTGTAATAAATAAGATAATCCCTATACAGATCAGCACAGTGCTGAGCACATTAGTATTCATTAAATGTTAGCATTCATTAATACCCAAGGACACACGCCTATTAGAGACAGTGATCTTGATCCTATGATATGCTCTCCCTTACTTTGGATCCCCCAATGCTTCACCGTCTCCTTTAAAAAAAAAAAAAAAAGGCCCATCTGAAGTTTTTCCCCCAACACATATGATATATGCCTGGTACAAATCATAGCTTGTGTTCTTTGTCCCTGTCCATACACTGATATTGAAAGAAGTACTATCTACGGATGCCAGGGTGGCTCAATCCGTTAAGCTTCTGCCTTCAGGTCAGGATGCCAGGGTCCTGGGATCACACCACACATCAGCCTCTCTTCATCTCCCTCTGCCACTCCCTGAGAGCGCATGCACTCTATCAAATAAATAAGATCTTCAAAAAATAAATAAATAAATAAAAGATGTTGAAGGGTTTGGTCCTCGCTGTGTTTCCACTAAGTGATTCACAATAGCTCAAGAGTATTATCAGTTGCCTTCTATAGCAACCTACAAGTATGCCTAACATATTTTGCTTTCCGTTATTGCCTAAGTCTGAGCAACTCTTCTCAAGAAAGTGGTTGATGTTGCTCTAGGATGTAACAGGTACCCCACGCTGAGCCCACCGAGGGACAAGATGAAATCCAATCTGAGTACAAAATAGAAAACTATGCTTTCAAGTCCTTGAGGAAGAAATTAACAATGCATCTTGAACGACTGATCTTAGGTCATTCTGGAAGGGACACGTAAGGCATATATTGAAAAATAAATATAGGGCTACCTAGGTGGCTCAGTCAGTTGGGTGTCCAACCCTTGATTTCAGCTCAGGTCATCGTCTCATGGATCATCGGGCTGAGCCCTGAATCAGACTCTGGACTTAGCTGGGAGTCTGCTTCAGATTCTCTCCCTCTGCTTCCCCTCCCCCTCAAATAAATAAATCAAAATCTTTAAAAATAAATAAATGTAAAAGTCTCTCAATCTGTAAAGATACAAAGTAATGGCTAAACTCCCACATGAAAACGTAGTAGGAGGTCATAATGGAAAAAACAGACATCTGGAAATTATGTAGGACCATATGGCAAGAATAATAAATATCTAATTTATAAAGTCAATAAACAACAAAGTGTCCAATTCATAGCTTGTTTCTCTTTATTTTCCTGGTCATCTAGTTAGAACTTGATTGGAATTCAGATTTCAGAATTCAGACAGATTTCCATCCCTTAATATGTAAGGGAATTTGCCTTTTTACAAGCAGCAATGGAAAGAAAATTATTTTATTTAGAATAACAATCTTAAAACAATGAAAAATGGCAGGGAGAATGACATTACTTAGAACAATGGAAGTTAAAATTACCTATGACTTTCAAAACACACTGCTTCTAGGAGCTACATCTGAATCCAGTGAAGAGGCTTTAACTATATTAAGGAAGGAACCAAAGCAGCCCCATTAAAACAGTTTAGTTTGGGGAATTACAATAGTACTGGGCATTATTCCTATTACTAATGCAATAGCAAAACAAGAGCAAAAAAGGAAATGAATGAACAAGGATAACATGGAAGAAAAAAAAAAACCCCACAAATGTGTTCCCCCATCCTTTTTTTTTTTTTTAGAGAGGGAGAAGGGGCAGGAGCAGGGTAGATGGGAGAGGGAGAGAACATCTCAAGTAGGCTCCATGCCCGGTGCAGAGACCAACACAGGGCTCCATCTCACAACCCTGAGATCATGACCTGAGCCAAAATCAAGAGTTGGACACTTAGGCTGAACCACCCAGCATCCCAATGTTCCATTTAAATAGAATTAACATTTTAGAAAAACATGTTGGATGAGAAGCACTGATCATAAAGGAAATTCTGAGAGGGCAATGTAAAGAACAGAAAGACATGAAGATTACCGAGTAAAACTAAGAAACTATAGAGAAACCTTGACAGAAAAACAGAAACATTAGGGAAAGCACACAAAGAGCACTTGTAAAGAGAGAAACAGAATTCCAGAGGAGACTGATTTTGGGGAAGCAGCAAAAGGAGACAGACCTAAGACTTGAAAGTAGGAAAGAACTGAAAATGAATTTGCTGGTTATATATGGATAAACATAAAACCTACAGAATGGTATAAAATAAGCCTATGGATTTTTAAAATCTAGAAAAATATACACCAAACTTCTTCACTCAAAATTCTAGGTGCTGAACCTTTCTGGACTAAGTCCTAAAACCAAAGCTCAGCAATCTCTAATTTTCTAGGACATTCTTCCACAGCAGCAAGACCAAATCATTTGCATATTCAAGCCCTCAACTCTTTAACACATGACCTTATTCCTCCTTACTGAATATACTGAAGCCATGAATGAGTTCCAGTCCAAATTCATTCAACTAATTGTTGATGAATCCCCACTGATTCTACTTATGAATTATTTCCCCAAACTGACTCCCTTTTCTACTTTAAGCCTTATCTCACCTAGAAAATTAGGATAGTCTGAATATTTTCTCAGTCTCCATTTTCTATTTTCAATTTATCCTACTCAACCCTCCAACATAAAAACGCATCTCTAAATTTTATTTCCCTCTGCTTTACTTCATTCCTCAGCCAAATATTAAAACCATCCATAACGTGATCCAAACCAACCTTTCCCATTAATCTTCTAAAACGAATCATCTGTCCCAGGCAAATCAAATTCCTTAACACTTTCACAAACATACCACACACACATTCCCTTCACTCCTTCCCCCTTATTGCTACTATCTGGGCATATTCTCCCTGCTTGTCTTTCAATATTTTGTCTATCAAAATCATCCTATGGACAATTTACAGTACACCGAAGTGTTTTAAAACACACAATGCAATAAGCAAGGCAATTCCACTTTATTAAACATGATTTTTGGGATGCGTGGGTGGCTCAGTCAGTTAAGCGTCTGCCTTTGGCTCAGATCATAATCCCAGGGTCCTGGGATCAAGTCCTACATTGGGCTCCCTGCTCAGCGGAGAGTCTGCTTCTCCCTCTGCCTGCCACTTCCGCTGCTTGTGCTCTCACCTTCTCTGACAGATAAATAAATCTTTAAATATAAATAAACAAACAAACATGATTTTCTTCCTTGAGTCTTCCCACATGTTCTCAAATTTTTACCAAAGGCCTGAAATTCCTACTGAGTTTTACAGTATTATCCAGGCAATTCTACAATCCATTCTACACCATTATATTCATGTACATTTTCATCTCTTAGAGAAAAGTTACAGTACTTGGAATGCACAAGAGATAGTAGTTTAGCATTATCAAAGCAAATAACCAGACAACGACAAAAAAATGAAATTACAGATTAAGTCAGAAAGAAGCCTTACAAGGAGCAGCTTGTTGCTTCAGCAGGTTAAGCATCTGCCTTCAGGTCCTGATCCTAGGATCAAGCCCCACCTCCAGATCCCTGCTCAGAGGGGAGTCTTTTTCTCCCTTTCCCTCTGCCCCTCCCCCAGCTCGTGCTCATAGGCACTCTCAAGTAAAGTCTTTAAAAACAAAGCAAAACAAAAGAAGGTTATACAGCACATTGGTAAAGTTATTTGGTCTCAGCATTATTCCACAGATGATGAAGAACCACCTGAGAGTCTGAAACAAAAGGAAGGTATGTTCAGATTTTCATTTTATAGTTTTTATAGAGTCGTTTAAAGAACAGATAAGGAGGGGGTAAGAATGAAAACAAGGGGAAAAAGTGACCTATTGCAGTAGTCTTAGAAGAGATAAGTAGGACATAAAATTAGGGCATTGATATTACAAATACAAAAATACATAGGCAAGAAAATGGATAGAACTGGTGTTCGACTAGATTTGAAGGGAAAGTATTAACTTTTGGATTAGGCAATAGGCCATTAAAAAAATAATTTGAAAGAAAAAGGTAAACATTCATCTTCTTAGAAATACAATTCATCAGCCTACATACACAAAGACATCCCACTGCCCAAAATAAAAACCTACAAACATTTCAGCCTACAGCTGAAGGTCTCCATGGACAGTGTGAAGCTTAATTCCAACACTATCTCCCTCCACTTTCCTAAATGAAGCTTATGTTCTAATCAAAGCAACTTGTAACCTGCATCCATTAACATTCTTTGTGCCTTTGCTTATACCGCTTTCCTGCCAGAAATGCCCCTTCCTTCCCTCAATCTCATTTCCCTATTCTACTCTTGTCTGACCCTTTCTTATACAAAATACCAATTCTCACCAAGTTTAACCTGATACCTGTATCTCACATAAAATCAAAACCAGCACTGATGTCATAAAAATGCTCACAATGAATGTTATCTCCATTCTGGAATTTGACTTAAATAACTTAATAGTGACTCCTCTAACAGGCAAAATCAAGGAAAAAAGGATTCAAAAAGGAAATAAAAGGTCATTAGATGCCAAAACTTTATTTATCCAATAGTTTTTCGGCCCTCCTCAGTCTGAAAGGCCAACTTTCACTTCTAGATACCTTCTATGTGCCTAATTCTAGCACCTATTCTTACTTTTACTTTGTTGTTTAACTTATACACACCAGACAAAATCGTATCTAAAACGTATTCTGAGGAATTTGGACATTTATGACATTTTGGCTGTTCAAAGGACATTTTTTAATTTTATTTAAGTAACCTCTACACCCAATGTGGGGCTCAAACTCACAAACCCGAGATCAAGAGTCCCATGTTCTTCCAACTGAGCCAGCCAGGTGCCCCAAAGACACTCTCATGTTTTAGTTCTCCATTACATTCTGAAGAGTTGAAATTGCCAGAAAATCTCTAGCACAGTGACGCACCAACATAATGATCACCGCAATATAATTCTCAGGCAAATATTATACAAAATGACCAGCCAAATATAAGAACTGGGATTCCTGCCATCAGAAAGCTTACTATTTAGTCATGTAAAACAGAATACTCTTATAAAAGCATAAGACAATATGAGTAATATTTAAGCAACGTAGGACAACAAAAGAATAACATGGCTGTAGTGCTGTATAAAATACAATTACTGAAGAGACAATGATAAAGCAACTCAAAGGAAAAGATCTTTTTTCAAGTAAGGAATGGAGAAAATGGACGGAAAAAAAGGTCTCAAAAAAGGTTTCACAGACCTTGAGTGACAGATCTTTTGATCAATGAGGTGCAAGCCTGGTGAACTGAAGTTCTCAATATTTGTTGTATACTGGCCAGCACTGTTAATATTTCATGTTTGCAAAACATTTAAGTTTACAAACATAAAAAGGGCCCTTAATGCAGAGTAAAGACAAGACTAATACAAGCTACTTATCAACCTGCTTAAAAAGAAAACAGTACCTACATGGAAGAAATATGCAAAAAAAAAAAAAAAAAAAAGGTTCTCACCTTGAATATACCAACCCAATCTTTTGGATGTGGATGGATATATGGAGTTAAGGTGTAATGACATTCCAGGTGTGCATTAGGAAGATAACTCTTGGCCACATTTTGAAAGATGACATGGGCAAAGTTGGAAGTCTGCAAGGGGACTTCTTGAAAGGATGTCATTGTGAATCTGAAACAAGCAAACATATACAAGTTGAATGATACCAACTAACAAAAAACTTACACCTTCAGAAAATACATAACACTGAATGCAAATTACATGAGCATCTATATGCCATAATTATTAAGATATATACTTGTAACTCCTCCTTAAAAATGTGATTAAATATAGAAATACAAACTGGGAAATAACAATTTCCAAAATGGCTCAGAAAGTCACACGGGGATTAAAAATTTTAAAAACCAAGATCCTCTCTCCCCTCTGCCCCTCCCCAAATAGGCTCACACCTGTAGTCTCTAAATAATTAAATCTAAACAAAAATCTGCAGGACACAAATGTTTTCCATATTTTGTGCTCTACTTTTGAGAATAAAGGATACAACTGAGATTTACTCAAAAAAGCTATCTATAGGGCGCCTGGGTGGCTCAGTGGGTTGGGCCGCTGCCTTCGGCTCAGGTCATGATCCCGGGGTCCTGGGATCGAGTCCCGCATCGGGCTCTCTGCTCAGCAGGGAGCCTGCTTCCCTTCCTCTCTCTCTGCCTGCCTCTCTGCCTACTTGTGATCTCTGTCAAATAAATAAATGAAATCTTTGGGGAAAAAAAAGCTATCTATACAGTATCAAAGACTCAGTAAAATTATTACTGATTCTACACTACACATAAATAATGATGACAATGTCCCTATGGTACTTGCTTCTAAGTCATCACAAAAATCTCTGTGATGGGAAAACCAGGGCAAGATTTTTGCTGACCAAATTAATCTATTTTACTTCACAAACCAATAGAGTCTCTACAGGGCAAGCACGGCAGTTAGTCTCTGCTCATATTTTAACTATTAAGAAAGCCTTTACTCCTAAGAAGATCTAGGACAACATGCTTTCACAATGTTTCTTTTGCTGACCTGTTTGAATACTAAGGCAAATTTTTTAAGAGTTTCAAAATAAACACTTCAGAAAATACCCACGTTTCTTCTTGTGTCTTCTCTGCTTCTGTTCAAGTTCTGCTTTACTGAAACAATATACTGAACATCTCATAAAGAGACTATCAATGGTGAACCTGGAAGCCACTGTGGTAGAATACCAGCCTGGTTGTCTGTTAGCCTCTCCCCAACCTGAGCTCTGCCAAGATTCCAAGGAAAGGAGAGTGCATTCAGCAGCAATCCTCCTGCATCTCTGTACTAACAAAATGGCTTAATTACCAGCAGCCCTATTTCACAGAAGGATATAACTGTCACTACCATGCCAAAGTCTTCAATAAAATGAAGAGGTAGCCCTTCCTTACAAACACTGAGAACTCTGCCTAAAATAAATGAAGAGTTTTATTACTTTCTTTGAATCGTCTGAGCTAATTTCAGCTCAGAGTGACGTCATGTGCTAATAAGGTCACTGATGATAATCTCTTTTCAAGTCAATGCCTTCATAAACAAGGAAAAAATAACAGATTGATTCCAGTTTTGAAAACCTGTTTACTAATGGTTATACCAGTTAAGAGAAACTATAGCTAAATCAATGAACCCAACCTCAAGCAGATACAACTACCAAAACTGAGGCAAGTGAATGAGGAATATTTTTCTACAAAGAAAATGATTTAGGTTTCTCTAGGAAAACATTTAGTAAGTAAATAAGGCTAGCTTAGGATTAGTTGCCAATGTTTTTAATTAAAAGTAATTTAAGGGGCACCTGGGTGGCTCAGTGGGTTAAAGCCTCTGCTTTCAGCTCAGGTCATGATCCTAGGGTCCTGGGATGGAGCCCCACATCGGGCTCTCTGCTCAGCGGGGAGCCTGCTTCCTCCTCTCTCTCTGCCTGCTTCTCTGCCTACTTGTGATCTCTCTATCAAATAAATAAATAAAATCTTTAAAAAAAAAAAGTAATTTAAGAATGAAACTTTTTCTTACAACTTAACATGTTTCTTAAACTGTAATTATGTTTTAAGCAGTGAAATTTAAACTTTTGTTTAACCTCACCTACACAACGTTTCAAAAATCCATAATCCTACCTTACACTTTTACCTCACTGAAATTTTAAGCAGAAAAATAGCAGGAAGGTATACATCTATGTATTTGTGTGTGTGTGTGTGTGTGTATGCTTACAAATGCTATCAAAAAGGACTAGAAACTACATGAGGGATTTATTCATGAGGGATACATGTGAAGACTAACTTTTAACCTGTTTGCCAGTACATATAAACACATTTTCATTCCAAATAAATGTATTAACATAAAATTTCATTTTTTAGGCTTCCCCCCAAAATTCAGGTTTTTAAAAGAACACCCTTCATCAGACTTTAAATATATTCAAGAGTATAAATCTTAAGTATACTATAAATTTGTGATCCTACTAACCTTTATTAATCTCTCTCCAACACTCCAACCTTTTTAAAAATTTCAGTGCAATTATAACTACAGAAATGTTTTCCAAGTACTTCCACTCTATTAGTTTTAAACTTTTTTAAAAATTAAATTCCAGGGTGCCTGGGTGGCTCAGTGGGTTAAGACTCTGCTTTGGCTCAGGTCATGATCTCAGGGTCCTGGGATCAAGTCCCACACTGGGCTCTCTGCTCAGCGGAGAGCCTGCTTCCCCCTCTCTCTCTGCCTGCCTCTACTACCTACTTGTGATTTCTCTCTCTGTGTGTCAAGTAAATAAATAAAATCTTTTTTAAAAAAATTAAATTCCAATATATCGTCTAGTCATAAAAAGTTAACAAGGGTAAATGTAATCTCAATGTAATTACCACATGAATCAACCCATTTTAAATAGTAAAACAAAATTTCCCATATAATCCTGTTTCACTACTCACACAGATAAATAAAATGAATGAAAAGATGGATAAACATAAAAATGCTGAAATTCACTGAAACCGGCAATTTATCAAGATAATTCAGACTTATACACTATCCATGTGTACACACACACACACACACACACACACACGACACAAAACAGCCCAGTGGGGAAGTAATATACAAAGTCACTGCATCACCTTGTGGTAATGCTTGGTAAGTGTAGCTTCACTAACACCCTAAGAACAAACTGCACCTCAGCTGAAGAAGAAATATAGCTCCCCAGACACACAAAGGGAAGTGGAAGCAGCTGTACTATACCAAATTTTGCTTCCCATTCTCTAAAGTACAGCTCCAGAAACATGGATACATTAAGATGCAAGCCAAGGCTAAGCAAAAATTTTCCACTCAAGAATTAAAGAACCAAACACATTCAGCTGAGAAACAGTCTGAAATGCATATACATGATGCCTGCAGTGCCCTCTTCCATGTTTACTACTATATTTCACAAAGGCCCAACATGTCTAGAGTTCCTTTGCATGTGCTAGAGTGTAAACTTTATACAATAAAATCTTTGGTCTAAAATCCCAATTTTGTTATTTGGGGGATTCATCTATCTAAAGAAAAAAGATAAATAATGTGCAGGTGGCACTTAGTTAAGTAACTAAAATAAATGGGGTAGGGGGCACGAGGAAGGTGGAAGGTGGAAGCATGTTATCTTTATTTCCTCCTCCAGGAACATTTTCAAGCCCAAAACTGGCTTTTGTGGTAGTATTTTTTCAGTGGCTTCTGATACTCAATTTCACTGGACCAGCCCAAAAATGTAAGCCTTAGTTAACTAAACTAGAAAATATATATACTAATTTTGTTCAGTGTATGTGACTCTGGTGATTTTTTTTTTCTTTCAAAGTCCTTATAAAGTCAAAGATAACTAATCATAAGAAATATCCTGATGTCCAGGATTTGCTTTAAAAACTCCCAGGGGGTTGCCTGGGTGGCTCAGCCCTTAAGCAGCTGCCTTAGGCTCAGGTCATGATCCCAGCCCCACGCATCAGGCTTCCTATGGGGGCGGGGGGGGGGGGCTGCGCTTCTCCCTCTCCCACTCCCCCTGCTTGTGTTCCCTCTCTAGCTAGATCTCTGTCAAATAAATAAAAAAATAAATTAAATAAATAACTCCTTGGGAAAAATGTACTGGGGGAGGTAATAAAAGAAGATTAGTAAAATGGTAGTTCCTGGGACACCTGGGTGGCTCAGTTGGTTAAGCAGCTGCCTTCGGCTCAGGTCATGATCCCAGTGTTCTGGGATCGAGTCCCACATCGGGCTCCTTGTTCTGTGGGGAGCCTGCTTCTCCCTCTGCCTCTGCCTGCCACTCTGTCTGCCTGTGCTCGCTCTCTCTCTCTCTCTCTCTCTCTGACAAATAAATAAATAAAATCTTAAAAAAAAAAATGGTAGTTCCTTTTACTATTTGTTCTTCTTTTGTGTATGTATATAAGTAAAGTAAGTAATAAAAACTCCATATATGACATACCATAATAGGAACACATTACATATAGTGGATGGCAAACTTAGCAAGAAGTTTTTTTAAATCTTCAGTTAAAAGTACATGAACTTTTAGGGACGCCTGGGTGGCTCAGTTGGTTAAGCAGCTGCCTTCGGCTCAGGTCATGATCCCAGCGTCCTGGGATCGAGTCCCGCATCGGGCTCCTTGCTCAGCAGGGAGCCTGCTTCTCCCTCTGCCTCTGCCTGCCATTCTGTCTGCCTGCACTCGCTCTCTCTCCCTCTCTCTCTGACCAAAAAAAAAAAAAGTACATGAACTTTTAAAATTATCTCTAAACTTCAGTCCCATAAGACACACAAATATCTGAAGGAAAAACTGTTAGACATTCTAATGGTTTTCAATTATTCACACTTTAACTCAAAGACTATCAACTTGTTTATAGAGCAGAAAAATGTTATCTGCAATCCTTCTGGGAGGCAGAGGCAAAGCCAACAATCTGTTAATTTGCACTCTTAAATACATCCATATCTCTAGAATTCTTCACAACTGAGTGCCTTGACACTCTACCCCAGTGTTACTTATACTTTTACTTACTCTATAGATTGTTTTAAATGGTTTCTAAAAAGCTGTAACTTGGCCCATACAAAGAGGGAATTTTTCTCTTTTTGTAGGGATTTGGGCCAAAATACATTTTAAAAAGCCAGAGAGGCCAAAATTTTAGTGTCAAAATTCCAAAAGAATAAAATCCAATAAACTTTGCATATGTATTCCCAAATATTCCCCCAAAGTACACGAGCATCGTTAGGACATTTCATAGTTAACATTAAATGGCTGCAGCCATTACCATAAATAGAGGTATGCAACTTAAGAACGTGAGGAGGAGAACAAAAACTACGCTAGGATATCCTCTGATGCTGCAAAAAAAAAATAAAAGTAAAAAATAAAAGACCTAACAAGTCATTTCTCACGTT